CGTTATCAAGTTACTAACCTCGTGTCCAGTTCCAGTGAAATAACTACGTCCTGCCCGTTATCAAGTTACTAACCTTGTGTCCAGTTCCAGTGAAATAACAACGTCCTGCCCGTTATCAAGTTACTAGCCTCGTGTCCAGTTCCAGTGAAATAACAACCCCCTTCCCGTTATCAAGTTACTAACCTCGTTTCCAGTTCCAGTGAAATAACTACGTCCTGCCCTGTATGAAGCTACCAATGTCGTGTCCAGTTACAGCAATTTAACTACGCCCTGTCCGTTATCAAGCTACCCACTCCGTGTTCAGTTGGAGTGAATTAACTACGACCATCGCAATTAACGACGACCATCGCTGCATCGAGTTATCTACGTCCTGTCGGTAGTAGCTACCCACTTCGTGTTCATCTCCAGTGAATTAACTACGCCCCTCCACGTATCGAGTTATCTACGTCCTGTCGGTAGTGAGCTACCAACTTCGTGTCCAGTGAGCTGTGAAGTCCGTGGCCCTGTCCGGTCACCCAGCTGAACAACGCCCTGTCCTGCTTCAACGAGCCACCAACGTCCCGTCCTGCATCAAGCTGCACATGCCCGATCCTGTTTTGGTGAGTTACCCACGAACTGTCCAGTGTCGGCGATTCGCCTACATTCTGTCCAGTGAGCTGCCGATGTCCCGTGACCCGTCCCGGTCACCCACACCTCAATGACTGTGTCCCAAGATCGCCATATAGGACAATTGAAGTTTGTGAGAGAACTATTGACAGTAAAGAACCATGGACACTTAATTAAGCCAAGTGTGTGTTTTGAATAATATTTAAATTCTATAGGACTTTCCACGAACCAGGCAAGTTGGATTTTTATTGTTTAAAACATTTTTGGCATTACTTTTCTTATGACTTATGTATTAACATTTTTTTTACCTGGGTAGAATTTAGATTTTTGTTAGAGTTAGTTTAAACAGACTGCGATTGGTCCTTAAAACATAATTATTGTTTACTGTATAATCACACTTAATTTGCATTGATATGGCTGGATATGTCAGTAGGAAATGGAGTTTAGAAGAAATTAGGCATGTGGGTGTGTTACTTTGTTATACCGGAGAGAACCTAGAGGAGTATATAAGAGTTAAGTTCGAAGAACACGTACGGGAAGAGAGAGAGGATGAACTTAGAGCCAGAGAGGATGAACTTAGAGCCATAGAGGAAGAACTTAGAGCTAGAGAGGAAGAACGTATAGATAGAGACAAACAAAGACAATTTGAACTAGATAAACTTGATAGAGAAACTAGACTGGCAAAATTAAAGGCAGAACGACGGGAAATTATTTTAAAGAGACAGGCATATTATTATAGCGACAGTGACGATGACGAGAGTCAAGGGGAAGAAATATATTATGGCATTGCCAGCATTCACTGTGAGAATCCCTATAAAAATTTTAATAGATTTCCTATTAATGTAAGTGAAAACAAATATGTGGATAACGGTGGACATACTCATGATCCTGACCCCAGGCAAGAGCCGACCTCGCAACCACGGTTCATGGCTAAAGATACTGAGGAACAAAATGATATTATTGCCTCTGCTGACGACTCAATTTTTTTTAATGGAAATGACAGTGAATTGTTAATTGATCCGTCGGCTAACGTTAAAAGGGACAACGTTGACCGTGCTGACATACCCCCAGTGGCAAAGGGTACAGATATAGCTTTAGATTCATGTCAAAACGAGGTTGAAGTAGTTGGTGTATCCCAGGAAGTCCAATGTAAAGAAGAAAGGGGACGACAATTTAATAAGGTAGAAGTCATTGGAAATGACCTTAGGTGGACGTATGTAGGGGATTGTCCCAGCGTCACAGTATGTAATAAACTGGTGGTTATGGAAACGGGCTGTATTGAAAGCAAAGAGAACCCTGTTCTAATGTCTGAGGACATGATTTTTGTTGTATCTCATGGTGAGCCATCAGATAATGTAAGTCCTGAAGTTGAAGTGTCTGATTTTTTGTGTGAAGTTGATGAGGTGAGTGTAATCCCTGAGGTGGGGGAAGGAGAGAAAATTGTTGTTGATAATTATTGTGATGTAAATGAGTCACTGTGTAATGTGAGCAAAGGTTGCTCAAATGTTGATATTTTTACAGAGATATGTACTGGTAATGAATATGAATTAGTTGATAATGTGAGCCAGGTGTGCTCAGGTTTTGATGTTACTGCAGAGATCTGCAATGAAAATGTATCACAAGTTGTTATGAGCAAGGGTTGCTCAAAATTTTATACAGAGAGCTGTATTGATGATGAATCAATAGGTAATGTGAGCCAGGGCTGCTCAAATTTTCATATTGTTACGGATAGTTGTAATGATGATGAATCACCTGTAAATGTGAGCCAGGGCTGCTCAGATTTTCATATTGTTACGGATAATTGTAATGATAATGAATCACCTGTAAATGTGAGCCAGGGCTGCTCAAATTTTCATATTGTTACGGATAATTGTAATGATAATGAATCACCTGTAAATGTGAGCCAGGGCTGCTCAAATTCGCATATTGTTACAGATAGCTGTAATGAAAATAAATTCCCAAGTAATGTGAGTGAAGGTTGTCCAGATTTTGAGAGCCAGGAGTGCTCTAACATTAAGTTGGAAACCAATGTTGAAAGTGTTAAAGAGAGTGCTGCCAGCTCTAAAGGTGCCCTTGTTTATGATTTTCAAGAGGAGGTGAGTTGTCAGGTCCATGAGTTGGGAGGTGAGGCTTTTGATTGTATTGTTAAACAAAATGAATCTGTTAAAATGAACTATTGCCATGATTGCTTTGAAGTTCCTGATTTGTTTGAATTTCTTTTTTATGAGACTCGTTTTTCAATTTGTAACAATTTAAAAATATGTATTGTAAAACTGAGATTTCACATGAGTTATGACCACGGGTCAAAAGAACAGGAAGAGATAATTCTAATAATAATAAACATGTTGAAGCATAAAGTTGTGAAATCCACGGACAAAAGATATGTCCCGCCATCTGTAACTGTGTTATTTAAGAGCAAATAAAGGCTGCTTAAATTGTGGTGAGACATCTCTCACCTGTAATAATGTTAGATAGTTTTGTGTTTTTATAGTGATGACCATTGGTTTTATTTTAAAATACACCTTTTTGATGATATGATTTGGATTGACTTAGTTGTAGTTTCAACTTCAGTAGGGATGTTGATGTGTTTGCCCTGACTTTTGGGATAAAAATATAATTATTTTTATTGGTATGAAAAATGAAAATTAATGTCGACATTCAATTTTAATGGTCTGATTTTTATTGTGGTACATGAATTTTTAACCCTTGAATTGCATTTAAAATTATGTAGGAAGGATTGTTTATTTTATTGCAGTATATCATAAATCTGTTTGATTTTCAGTGTTAGCTAAATAATGTTTTTTGATAAGGACCATTCATATGGATGAAGGGTTCTTCTTGATGTAATTGATGTAAATTTTGTATGTCTGGTGACGATTTCACTCCCTGAGTAAAATCTGAAATGAAAGAGGGGGGATATGTCGAGTATGAGCGTTCATTAGTAATTGTTGCGACTCAATATTATGTTCATTAGTTGTTGAACGCTTTTCCCGCGCTTGACTATTATAGTTAGTGAACGCTCTTCCCGCCATTGTATTTATGACGTATTTTTATGCTGAGTCGTGACGTATTGTCTATGCAGTGTTGTGACGTATGTTTTAGTCGTGCTGGCAGTCTTGAGTGGAACCTTGGAGTGATAGGATGTTTATTATATTTACTTAGATATTAAATTTATAGTTATTATGAAAAGGAGTTGAGTTTGTTAATTGATAGTGAGAATAGTACGACGCTTCAACGTGTGAAAGAACTGACGAATGTAATCAATCCAAGAAGACGTGTAGGAGTTGACAGAGATGTCAATCAAAAGATCTGATGAGGAGAATATGGACTTTATTGGAGAGGGAGGCGACAAATAAATTACTTTATATAAATTATAAAAGTGGATGCCCCAGACAGAGAGGAAGACGGCAATGATTGGAAGGGGTCGGAAATGATTGGGAGGAAGACGGCAATGGTTTGGAGGGAGGCGGAAATGATTGGGAGGAAGACGGCAATGATTGGGAGGGAGGCGGCAATGATTGGGAGGAAGACGGCAATGATTGGGAGGAATACGACAATGATTGGGAGGGGGGCGGAAATGATTGGGAGGAAAAATGCAATGATTGGGAGGAAGACGGAAATGATTTGGTGGGAGTTGGCAATGATTGGAGGGAGACGGCAATGATTGGGAGGGAGATTCCCATGGATCGACGTGGTTTCAAGTGTATTTCAATTTCCCGGGGTTGTCATGGGCACAGGTGACTTTAATAATGACAGTGTTCCGTGACGTCCACTATTGAAGGTTTCGAAAGCGCTTCCCTACTTCCGTTTATTTTAGGCTCAACATATTTTAATTAACTGTCTGCTAGTCTGGTAGTTACTTCTTTAAAAGTGTACTACTTCAAAGTACAGAAAAAACATTTCTTCCAAATGTTACTGCAGTAAAGCTGTACACTGCCTCACTCATTTAATGTCCGTCCTTTGCCTAGTGGTCTCATTACCAGCCGGCCACTAAGTCCTTACACAAACAAGGTTTGTCGTCTTCATAAAACCAAACTCTGGAGGCAGAGCATCCCTGTTTACCTAGGAACCACAACTCTGCATGGTCGGTGGAGTTGAGGGTCAGTTGTTTGCAGCAGGATGGGAAATATTGTCTTAAGTGAAGTCGTCCAAACAGCCAGCACTTGACTTGTCCTGGCACAGGTGAGCCTTTAGGTCAACAGAAGGTACCTATAACAGCTACAGGGGGAGTCTGCTGGCAGTTAGTGTCATACATGGTGTCTGCCGGTCCAAAACTTAACATTATTTTAACTGTCTGCCATTTGGAAACTTAACACTTTTTTAAATAAGTTAACATTTTAGTTTATTTTAAAAAATCGAGTTTATAGTTACATAATGACGGCTGGATAATTCAAACCATGCTACAGTTCAGGTAGTGAGCCATTATTTTATTTTTCTCTGATTTTATTTTTAGGGCGCAAAAAAATTTGAGTGTAAAATATGGCGACCATTCATTTATTGTTATTTATTTCTGCTGTGATGTTCATCGACTGTCAGAATATTTACCGAAATCTCAAAAGTCAAAGTCCATTTCAACCACCCTCTGATGACGTCAATCAGTGGATTACTCTTAAACCAGGTCAGAAGAAAATCCCGGATGTCGCACAGTCCAAGAATCCGGTGACGATGCCAACTTCTACACCGGCAACAACCACCTTGAGACTGACAACAACAACCAGACCGTCCACGACAGCAGAGAGTAAAATAAAAAATGGGATTGTAAAAGAAGAGACAAAAGAAGGCAGCCCATTCGGACCGCCCATAAAAACGGAATGGCACAAACCAGACCAGTTCCCAGACAACAGCAGGTTCAGACCGTCCCCATCGCCATGGCTCTCCTCCTTAGAAGGTACGTATCATTACTTCCTGTCACGTTAGGCAGACGACTTTTGACGTCACATGGATGGTTGGCAGTGTTGTCTGCTTAATACTAGTGAATTTCACTCGTAATAAATGACACAAGTAATTAAATGAAGTGGTCCTACTACTACTACTGAATGGTCCTACTACTACTACTGAGTGGTCCTACTAATACTACTGAGTGGTCCTACTAATACTACTGAGTGGTCCTACTAATACTACTGAGTTGTCCCACTACTACTACTGAGTGGTCCTACTATTACTACTGAGTTGTCCTACTAATACAACTAAGTACAATTTCTCAGAAAAAAATATTTTCACTTAGAGGTTGTATCAGTCAGGCCCTATAGCCTAGGACATAGAGGTTGTATCAGTCAGGCCTTATAGCTAGGACATAGAGGTTGGATTAGTCAGGTCCTATAGCCTACAACATAGAGTTTGGATCAGTCATGTCCTATAGCCTAGAACATAGAGGTTGTATCAGTCAGGCCTTATAGCCTAGGACATAGAGGTTGGATTAGTCAGGTCCTATAGCCTACGACATAGAGGTTGGATTAGCCAGGTCCTATAGCCTACGACATAGAGTTTGGATCAGTCAGGTCTTATAGACTAGGACATAGAGATGGATCAGTCAGACATTATGGCCTAGGACACAGAGGTTGGATCCGTCAGAAATTAAGGCCTAGGACACAGAGATTGGATCAGCTCGGTCATTTGGGCGACAACACATTCCCACTGTGTTACTTCCCAGCCGTAGCTCCAGGATGTGACACGATACTCGGATTTCGGCTATTGGGTTAGAAACCGTTAAACGACTGTTGATGTTTTTTCAAAAGATAATCACATTGTTTGTATCACTATTTTTTTAAAATTGTCTTTATAAAGCAGAGTTGTTGTTTTTTTTAAATTGATATTTTAATCATCAAGAAATACTTTTGAACATATTAAATTTTGTTAAAACATCAAAAAAGCCTGGGGACCAGTGTTAACTTTTAAATGATGGTGAAAAGAGGTCGTTACCAAACAATGAAACAAGAAATGATATAAAACCTAAAAGACAACATATATAATATATATTATCTAAACCTAACACGCCATAACTACAAAGTACATAGCAACAACTACAAAATTAATCTCCACTCCAAACCACGCAACCATTGATACAAATCATATTTTATTCATCTTCCACTTGAAAAACAGGAAAAGCTGATTTTTCTGGGGTTTTGGAAGGGGCTGAACATTTAATAGAAAGTGTTGTCATCAGCAACGATTCTATGTTTCTGTTCGATAGCTTGACGGGAAGTGGGCCAGTAAGCCCTCCGAAGATTTTGCTACAAACACACGAAGAAAGGAAACGTTAATATAAAGGGTTTAAAAAGGAGTTCCTTTATAGGACCGATGAATAACATGTGTTTATAAACTTTATCAATGTTGACTTCATTAACCTGCCCCCCCCCCCCCCACTCTATCAATGTCTATCGAACAACTGATCCACAGCCAGGCAGCTCCACAACGCCGATTCTATACCGGCCATCTCAAACATCAATGTCCAGAAACGTTAAAATAAAGGGTTTAAAAAGGAGTTCCTTTATAGGACCGATGAATAACATGTGTTTATAAACTTTATCAATGTTGACTTCATTAACCCGCCCCCCCCCCCCACTCTATCAATGTCTATCGAACAACTGATCCACAGCCAGGCAGCTCCACAACGCCGATTCTATACCGGCCATCTCAAACATCAATGTCCCCAAGCAGGTGACGTCAGAGGAGACAAGTGACACCACAGATAGTGAGCCAGTTCATGGGGACAAGAGGCGCCCTAAGCCTAGGGGCAAAAGACCCAAAATGACGGTGTATCAGGATAATTCTCACAGGTGAGAAATGTAGTGTTAATAATTTATGAACTATTACAGTGTACATGTAATGTAGGCTATTTTGTACATAAGTTTTAGTTTTAATATGTATGTAGGTTATTTTGTAATGCAGCGTTCCTATCAGAGCTATCACAGCTTTTGGCCTCTTAAATATCATAGGAACCATGCAGTCCTAGCGGTTCCATGCAGTCCCAGGGGTTCCATGCCGTCCCAGGCAGTCCCAGGGGTCCCATGCAGTCCCAGGGGTTCCATGCAGTCCCCGGGTTCCATGCAGTTCCAGGGCCCAATCGCAGTCTCTGGTTAAAGTGAATAGACTTTTCTAATTTAGGCTATCTAGTAACATAGTGCTACCATCTAATATGTGAAGTTATTTACATGCAATTAATAGTCATTTGTCAATGAAGCCTGGGTCTCTTAAGTGGGAGTTGCAAGGTGGGTGTTTTAAGTGGATCGCAATGGGGTGTCTTAATTCTATTTACCGCGGGCTAGTTACTTTTTTCCTGAATAACAGTTTAAGTCAAAAAAATAAATATATATATATATATATATATATATATATGGAATTGATTTTTAAAGATATTTTCATTTTAATATAACCTATCCACATTGATGTCTTCTTGTAGATTTAATAATACTAATAAGCTCTTTTCTTGTTCATATAATAAGAACAATACATACATGGTAATTTCGTGTTGAAATAATCATACAAATAAAAAAAATATTATTGTTGATTATATCCTACAAATACAGACATGTTATATTCTTCTTGATATAATCACATAAATCTGATTGAATTTTCTAGCTTATATAATCATAAAAATAAAAGGAGCCATTTTCTATTTGATATAATCATACAAATACAACCATGCTAAATTCATATTGATACAATCAACACAATTATCAATTATTCCAAAGAGACATGCATGACGCCGGACCTGGCGTGACACCGTGGACTAGATACACCGAGAAACCCAGGCAGCAGGAAGATGTTGGAGGTGGATCTGCTGGGAGAAGTAATGGTAAGATGGTAGATTTGCTGGAAAAAGTAATTGTTAAGATGGTAGATTTTCTGGGAAAATTAATGGTATGATGGTATATTAGCTGAGAGGAGTGATTGTAAGATAGTATATCGGCTGGGTGGGCGAAGTAAGATAGTAGAACTGTTGGGTGGAGTAAAGGTAAGATGGTAGTTTTGCTGGAAAGTTAAACTGAAAGATTATTTATTTTAGGATAGGATCAGAAAGAACGTGAGCTCGAGGAGAATATAAGTCAGAAAAGAAAAAAAATAGATGAACTTGGTGAGAATGAGATAGAGAGATAGGTAAGAAGAAGATAAAGTGAAAGAAGAGAGAGATTGGTAAGAGGGAGAAAATGCTAGACCTTGAGTCTATGCTTGAATGAAGATGGAATAAAAAATAGGATGTTATAAATTATAAGCTCTTATCAAAAGCGCATATCATAAATCATAAGCACATATCATTAGCTGATATCTGAAGCTGATATCATAAGCTCTTATCATAAGCTCATTTCATAAGCACATATCACATAAGTAAGAAGGCGAAGTTTATGGAAATATTCATTAGAACGATATTGACCGTTTAACGTGAATGGTTTCCCTTTAAAAAGCTATTCCCTTTTTTTTGTGTGATAATTAAAATGCATCAATAAATCACGAGGACATAAAAAAAAAGTGTAAACAAACAATTTTTTAAAATAATCAAACATAATATTTATTAATATCAAATGAAATATTAATTTTAAAAAAATAAAAATAAAATCCATTGGACGGATTTGAACCCGATACATCCGCTGAAACAGGTGCGCGCATTAACGTATACACCATGGCGATAATTATTATAACACCATGGCGATATTAACATTAAACTTTCAGATCTTTGTTTAGGTGTTATTTGTGACGTCGAAAATTCTCGAGGTGAATCAGGTGTTTCTTAGTTTCGTATTAATTGTTACTTTGTTTTTAAGATCTGCAGTAAACTTGGTGCTTTGAGATTTTTGAGCTGATTCATTTTGACGTCATAGATGTTTGCATTCTTATTGCATATATTATTCATTCAATATTATCACCTGACGTTCTTCCTCCACCCCACCCTGTCTCTCACCCCTAGCTCGGTGTGGCTGGCAGAGATATGCCCCCAGAACTCAGATCTGCTGTCAAGGTCAAGTCTTACGTCGCCAGGGCATTAAGCCGTCGTGCTGCGGCACTGAGGCCTACGACACGGTGTTCAACAAATGCTGCAATGGTGTCCTCTCATTCAGGTCCCCTCAGGACCCGGACTGCTAGTCTCACAAATCGTACTGTGTCAAGTCACGTGAACACACACACACACTATGAGAAACATAAGCAGTAAAACGTGACCACACACAGGTGTCACATAGTACCACGTGACCCCACGCATTAGCAGTTCCACATACCCTCATAAGCTGCACACAAGAGTCACATAGATAGTACCACGTGACCCCACGCATTAGGAGCTCCACATAAACTCGTAAACCACACTCATGCCATGATCGAATATAATTTAGACTTCCATAGTCTTTTCTTTAGTTTATGTTAATGAAATTGACAGCTGTCATTACTGTCAAACTATGTCAATAAAATATTTCTGTTTATTTATTATTTCATCTTGGATTCATTCTTTGATATTTACAATCTCATCACTTAGTAGACATACCCTAGAAACATTGACTCAAATTTTGGACATACCAGAACAAACATTTGCCAAAGAACAATTGAATATACTCTTTAAAATTATTACTTAACTACCGGATTTATACATACAGGTACAAACATAGTTAGATTGGAAACTCTAGATTCTTTCCCAATTTATATTCAAACGTATCCGGAAATTTGATCGAAAGAAATTTTGTCGATGGAAAATTGATCGAACGGAACTTGGTCGAATCATTTTTTCACTTCACACGTTAAAATTTTGCGCCAAATTTCTTTTTGAACGCATTATTTTGTTTTACTATATAGTATAATGCGTTCAAAAAGAAATTTGAAGACAATTTTAACGTGTAAACTGAAAAAAAAAAGATTGGACCAAATTTCCGTTTGATTTAATTGCCTTTGACGAAATTTCTTTCAATCAAATTTCCGAGTACCATATTCAAAGCTTTCAAACATGAGATTTGTTATAATAGGATCAGAGGCAAGGTGAGATAATTTATGTTTGATATACATTGTGAATCTCTATTAGTCTATTAGGCTTAAGTTCTTTCATAATAATTCATTGGGTGGAAAGCCTTTTTTTAGCGAAATAATTCCTAGAGAAATATCGTATAATTATAAAATGAGACCCTCAATGTACCTCGTTCAAACTAGTATAAAAATAAATGCCGAAAACGAGGTTTCCATCAGTTAGAACTATAAATAGTAATGCGAGATGGATTTCCGTTGTGCTTAGCAACGAGGTGAACCTCCAAACAAGCACAATTGGCGGCAACGGACTTCAGGCAGAAGGAAAATTTTAAAATAATCTTTAAAAAAAGTCTTTCTATCAATGAGTTAGCGCGACTGATTTTTTTAAATACATGTTTTATATTAAACATTCCGTTAAAACCACTGAAAACGCACGGACATGACAAACTAATTGAAAAACAATAATCAATAAACACATTTACTGTTACAATTAGGACATGGTGAATGATGCTATTAATTAGATTTCTAAAATTAGTCATGTAACCACAAACTCAATTGATTTAATTTAATGAAGTTTAAATGTAGTTAGTAATCCCATCAGGTCAATCGGAAGTTTTTTATTTTATTTCACTAGAATAATAAATCACGCGAAATATTTTTAATATAGGCTAATATAGGATTAGCCGGTACCAAGTTTAAGTAAAAACTAATTTACAATTTCATAAATGCAATATGATTATGCAAAAAAAAAGAAAGACTGCTTAAATGTCGATGAGCACTCTATGACAATTCGAATGTAATAACTGTAAATTTAGACTGGAAGAAAATTAAATGTTTTATTTTATTAATTTTAAAAACATATTTAATGCACATACTTTCTTGGGCTATTAATATTGAATACAGTGTCCACCCAGAAGTAGACTGGACATTAACACAATTCACTTGCAACAAGCCGATCATCACTTTTGGGACCACTTTACCAGAAAATGACTGAGCGAAAATATTTTAAAAAAATAATGCTCAATCAAATAATCTATCCACACACCATCTGCTGTGGAAGGCTCATATCCACAAACCTTCTGCTGTGGAAGGCTCATATCCACACACCATCTGCCGTGGAAGGCTCAAATCCATACTATTCTTCTTTATGATGTCCTGTCTTTATATTTCAAGATTCCACATAACTTGTTCCGTCATACAGCTTGAAAGCAGTCCATTTATTATTTAAAAACTATGGGTTTCGGGTGCATAAGACTGTAAAAGGGTATTCTATGTTTGGTTGTACCTTTATTCCGTTTGTTTCTTTATTTTTGTGAGTGAGGGGTAAAGTCAAGCAACACCCTAGGCGTCATAAACTCATAACTGTCCACTGAATGGCGTCAATCAGAATGTGACCAACAAAAGTAATGGCAACTGGCTTGTGCTGTTAATCATACAAGGCCTCCTATTATCAAGACCCCGGTCAAGGGTTTATTTATTGAGAAGGTTGAACCATATCTTTGGTAAAAGTTAACTTTTTAGTACAGCGGTGGCCAACACCATGTCAAATATTGCGGCAAGCCTGGTTTATAACAATAAACAGATACGTTCTTCATTCAATTGACAAGAAAATCAATTTTAAAAAGAAAAGAGAGAGAAAGATAAAATGATATCACATTAGATTCATTCTGTTTTGTTATTAAGTATTTTATTCTGTGTAATACATTAAGAATACATTTCCATACAGTTTTTATTGGGTGTTTATTTTAATATAAGGTTTAATTGCATGTGGCAGCGAATGGTTTATAGGCTATCAAAAAAGCCTGCAAGCTCTTATGGGTTGGCCACCACTAATTTAGGAGATAATCTCTAGGTACCAACCCTTTGATCCATGGCGATCCTTTGGTGCATGCCAACCACTAGGAACATGCCAACCCCTTGGTACATTCCAACCCCTCGGTACATGCCAACCCCTCGGTACATGCCAACCCTTTGGTGCATGCCAATCCCTTGATACATGCCAACCCCTTGATCGGTATATGCCAACCCCTGGGTACATGCCAACCCAACTGAAGATGTTCTGTGAGACTAGATAAACAAACTAAACTATTATTCATGAGTCTTTTATTTCTTTGTAAAAATATAAATGGTCATTTTTAGTTCCAAATATTAAATTACATAATTTGAACCCACTATTCACTAATGATCATTTGATGCATTAAGTACTGTATTCCATCTTCATCATTTGATCCACCCATCCAAAAAGCAGTCAATACAATTTGATAAGCATCATTTTATCCAACAAATCAATGTAATCATCATTTTATCCAGCAAATCAATAATCATCTTTTCATCCAACAGATTAATAAATATCTTTTAATCCAGCAAATCACTGAACATCTTTTGTTCCAACGAATGCAATTATCAGCTTTTGTTCCAACAATGCAATGAATATTGGATCCAAAAATTTAATCATAATTTGATAAAAAATATAAATTATATTAAAAGAAATTTTTTAAACCTTGTGAAAGTTATACAATAATCAGCAGACTTTGTGAACATTTGTCTTTTCACCCATACAAGCTCCACATTTGTAGAGAGGCCAAGGACAAATTTTAAAATGCAATTTTTGGAAATAAAATACTGCCATAATTCTGAATAAACTTATTACCGTACTAAATACTATTTGAAATATCAGATCACACACTGTGTATAGTTGAAGTGACCAATCATGGTAAGTGATTGTTGAACCAAACAATGGTGTTCACCATACAGTCAGCTTCAGCATCTACATCTGATATGCTGTGATTATTCTTTGGGTAAGTCAGACACCTGTAGGAAACAAAACTTGGAGCTTTATCTTCATGACTGTGCTAGGTCAGCCATTTTTGTCAACCAACTAATCTATATGGAAATGCCAGAGATAACACATGTCCTTGAATTTTGTGAACATTTTATGCTTGTGAAAATCAAGTTTTTTGGTTTACAGCAGATGAGAAACCAAATTGAAATTTTAAAAAAACTTTCCCTGAGGTAGAGTTAAAATAAAAACTAAAGAAAGTGGAACTCCTGGTTACAAACGCCCCAGTTACCTAAAAAATTGGATAACAAACAAGCCCCCCCCCCCCCTTAACTAACAAATTGGTTAAAAAACTAGTTTTTTGAAATTTCTTTTCTCCATTAAGGAAGAAGACTATAAGGTAGTAATAGAAAAAAAACCTTCCCCTGAGTAAAATTAAAAAAAAAACCAAAAAAAGTGGAAACCCTGGTTACAAACGCCCCAATTACCCAAAAAATTGGGAAAAAAACCAGCCCCCCCCCCCCCTTAACTAACAAATTGGTTAAAAAACTAGTTTTGTGAAAATTCTTTTCTCCATTAAGGAATGAGACTATGAGGTATGAATAGAAACATGGGCCTGAATACGGAATCCCACAAGATCGGTAGTGTTTTGGCATGTGGAATGGATTGAGTTCATTATTGGAGGTACCATAGTAAAAGTAAAAAATGAGTACTTTGAGTGCCTCAATCTTTGAGGGAAATTGAAAATGATCAAAAGTCATTTAGGAACCATTTAAAGACTTTTTTTATTTGAATAGATTGTAGAACATCAGAGTGCTGTGAGCATGCTAAAATAACATGGATACAAGCACCATAAAAGTATTCAATCATCATCATCAACTTTATGAATAACAGTGATAGACAGGTAAGATAGGGCAACATTATGAATTAGGAAAGTGATACCAATTAGTACAGTTAGGGCAGGATTAATTTAAAAACAAGAACAGAAATACAAAATTGGACAGGTATTAACTACCACGGTTATGTTTGCAAATATGCATCAAGTGTCAGTCAACGTTTGCAAAAATCATGAAATTGAAAGAAATCAACATACAAGGAGATAATGAACCAGATAATGAACAAACTGACAGAGAGATAATGAAGCAACCTGACAGAGAGTTAATGAACCAACCTGCCAGAGAAATAATGAACCAACCTGCCAGAGAGATAATGAACCAACCTGCCAGAGAGATAATGAACCAACCTGCCAGAGACATAATGAACCAACCTGCCAGAGACATAATGAACCAACCTGCCAGAGAGATAATGAACCAACCTGCCAGAGAGATAATGAACCAACCTGACAGAGAGATAATGAACCAACCTGCCAGAGAGATAATGAACCAACCTGACAAAGAGATAATGAACCTACCTGACAGAGAGATAATGAACCAGATAATGAACAATCTGACAGATATAATGAACCAACCTGACAGAGAGATAATGAACAAACCTGACAGAGATAATGAACAAACTGACAGAGAAAATGAACAAAAATGACAGAGAGATAATGAACAAAATTGACAGAGATTATAAACAAACTAATAGAGAGATAATTAACAAAAATGAGAGAGAGATAATGAACAAAACTTGCAGAGAGATAATGAACAAACTGATAGAGAGATAATGAACAAACGGACAGATATAATGAACAAACCTGACAGAGAGATAATTAACAAACTGACAGAGAGATAATGAACAAACCTGACAGAGAGATAATTAACAAACTGACAGAGGGATAATGAACAAACCTGACAGAGATAATGAACAAAACTGAGAGAGATAATGAACAAACTAATAGAGAGATAATGAAAAAAAAATGACAGAGAGATAATGAACAAGTTGACAGAGAGAAAATGAACAAACCTGACAGAAATAATGAACAAACTGAAAGATAATTACCGGTAATAAAAATAACAGAGAGACAATGAACAAACTGACAGAGATAATGAACAAAAATGACAGAGAGATAATGAACAAACCTGACAGAGACGTTTCTTGCTTTCAATGCCTTGTAATACTCAAAGCTTTGGGCAGGTGGCACACGTTTGTCATCTAGTCCAATCATTAAAAGTATTGGTGTCTTAACCTACAAGGACAAGAATAAATCACAAGTTAACAGTCAGTAAACCACATCTTTCACAAGTTAACAGTAAAAAAAACACAGCTTTCACAAGTTAACAGTGTTAATCATAGCTTTCACAAGTTAACAGTCAGTTAATCATAGCTTTCACAAGTTAACAGTCAGTTAATCATAGCTTTCACAAGTTAACAGTCAGTTAATCATAGCTTTCACAAGTTAACAGTCAGTTAATCATAGCTTTCACAAGTTAACAGTCAGTTAATCATAGCTTTCACAAGTTAACAGTCAGTTAATCATAGCTTTCACAAGTTAACAGTAAGTCAATCTTAGCTGAACACAAAACCTGAACCAAGAGTCATGTTATGATTTGTAAGCAAACCTAACATCTTAAACCTGTCATAACACAAACTTGCAAATAATGTTAGAGCAAAATGTATGCGAAAACTAGATGTGTGCCAATTAAATGTGTGTAACTATAAAATGTGTGTGACAAAAAAATGTATGCACACAGATCTACAGGACTTGGCAAAGGAATTTCAAGAGTAGTGAGATTCACTGCCACACTTGTATAGGTTCCCAACAAGTCTGAGAGATGTGAGACTCATTGTCACAGTTGTATAGGTTCCCAACAAGTCTGAGAGATGTAAGATTCACTGCCACACTTGTATAGGTTCCCAACAAGTCTCAGAGATGTGAGATTCACTGCCACACTTGTATAGGTTCCTAACAAGTCTAAGAGATGTGAGATTCATTGTCACAATTGTATAGGTTCCCAACAAGTCTCAGAGATGTGAGATTCACTGTCACCGTTGTGTAGGTTCCCAACAAGTCCTGAGTTGTTTAGAGTAAAAGCTACAGTCCCAGTAAGTCACCTTTGTATTGGTTGACGGCTACAGTCCCAGCAAGTCATACCCATGTCCCATCATTATCATAAGTCAAGATACCAGCTAAACTATTTCATTAAACTTGTTCTTACAAACCTTGAGTGGTTCTAAAATTTGTAATGAACTAGATTTATATTTAAAGTCAACTGGACCATTGTCCCAACAGTGAAGAAAAATATTTTCTGACCAACCTTATCAATGTGAGACATAGGAGAGCACAGCCACAAGTAAGGCAACAACTTGTCATCGGCTAGTGTTCTGTAATCAAACTCAAGGGCAGCTTGTGCAAATATCCTGGAGATTAAATAAATTTCAGCATTGTCATCAATATAATCATTGCCTTAACTGCTAACATCTATGACTATGATCACAATCATGATGGATGGAATAAGCCTTTAACTGCTAACATCTATGACTATGATCACAATCATGATGGATGGAATAAGCCTAGGGTTCCAGAATTTTTACTTTTTTAAACTGTCCAACAAAAATAATCATGTAAATGTTACCATTACCTTAGTTTGTTTTCAAACTTCTTTTTATCTTTGCCTCTGGCAATGTTTATGAGAATGATGATGATAACTATAATGAATAGTATTATTTCTAATGAATCAATTGAATAAACCTATGGCTCCCAAATTTTGGTGCCGAAACTAATGTGCGCCTCCATCTATCTAATATTGGAAGCCTGACTTATCAAAAACACTGACTTACTACACATCATATATGACAGACTTCACAATCATGTAATACAGACTTAAGAATGATGTAAGACACACTTACCAATTATGTAAGACAGACTTCACAATCATATAGACAGACTTACCAATCATGTAGGACAGACTTACCAATCATGTAAAACAAACTTAACAGTCATGTAAGACAAACTTACAAGTCATGTAATACAGACTTACCAATGATGTAAGACACACTTACCAGTCATGTAAGACACACTTACCAGTCATGTAAGACACACTTACCAGTCATGTAAGACAGACTTACAAACAAATCATGAAAGACACACTTAAAAATCATACAGACAGACTTACCAATCATTTATGTCTGTTGTGGAAAACATGGCTGAAATGAGTAGTGAATAGCAAGACTTGTGGAGTCAACTCAGATTTTTGTAATAATACCAGAGACATGGCAAAGAACAAGAGCAATGAAAACCTACAAACCTATTGAAACCTACTGAGAGATTCGACAGGTTTCAAACCTAGGGAAACCTACTGAGAGATTTGACAGGTTTCAAACCTAGGAAATCCTAGTGAGAGGTTTGACAGGTTTAACTGAACGTTTGCAATAATATCAATAAATAAAACACAATTGAAATCAAAATAATTTGAATATGTCTGATTTATTACATACTACTGCAATATGTTCAAATGTGTAAAAGAGAAGGAAATGGATATGCAGAAAAATTAAAATCAGACATACGTGTCTGGATTGTCTGCTCCACTATATTTTGCTGGAGAAGAAGAATTAAAATGGTTTTTACAGGCAATTATTTGAAATATTTCTCCTCATATTTAACAAGCTAGAAATAGGTATTTGATTCTAGAAATAGGTATTTGATTCTAGAAGTAGGCATTTGATTCTAGAAAGAGTATCTGATTCTAGAAAGAATAAATTACACTTAGTAACGTAGTAAAAGATTGAGTTCCTGATTATATCTGAACTGACTTCTGCATATCCTACATTTTATAGGAACACTTTGATGACTCTAAGCCACATATGGAAAGGGAGATGACCATGATTTGAAACAACAAACAATTATTAAAAAAAGGGAAAAAAATTATTTAAGAACATTTTTTAGGTTAGTTTAATGTTTTTTTTAATTAATACAATTAGATAATTACATTATATGATAAATTTATAAGATTAAGTTGATTATTGCCTGTTTGGACTGAAAAGGTCTGATAAGTTGCTATACTTACAGGCCAGGTTGACTACAGGATTTCTAGTGGCTGCAGCTCTGAAGGTGTCCTGGACAGAGAACAGATTGATCATTTCTATTTTGCCATAACAAGTCAGTGGGTTTGATACAATCGATTCAACACTGTAAAGTCAGTGGGTTTGATGTAAATGAGTCAACACAGCAAAATGTTTAACCCAAAACTGTCATAATGGCTGATCATTGGCTGCTACTATGGCTGCTGCTATGGCTGCTGCTGTGGCTTCCGGAAGGAAGGAGGAACCATCGATATGGTGTTTGCGGCCAGACAGCTACAGGAGAAGTGCAGGGAACAAAATGTTGACCTCTTCTCTACTTTTGTAGACCTGACCAAAGCTTTCGACACTGTCAGTAGATAGGGCTTTTGGAAGATCATGGCCAAATATGGATGCCCCAGAAAGTTCGTGTCAATGGTACGACTATTCCATGAAAGTATGCAGGCAAGAGTTTGGGATAATGGAGAGACGTCAAAACCATTCCCTGTAACTAACGGTGTGAAACAAGGATGTGTACTTGCCCCAACACTTTTCAGCCTCATGTTTTCCGCAATGCTGACCAGTGCATTCAGAGAGGGAGACGCTGCCATTGGCCTCAGATACCAAACTGATGGTAATCTATTCAACCCCAAGAGGTTACATGCCAAAACGAAGGTCCTGACAGACACCATCAGGGACCTCCTGTATGCAGACAACTGTGCCCTAAACGCTGTATCAGAAGAGAATATGCAACGCTGCGTCGCAAGCTTTTCTATTGCCTGCACAAACTTCGGGCTCACCATTAACACACAAAAAACTGAGGTCATATACCAACCAGCTCCTCGAAGACCTTATGTTGAGCCCAACATCCAAGTATATGGCGAAAGACTTAAGGTTGTGAAATGCTTTTCTTATCTCGGCAGTACATTGTGCCAAAGCACAACCAGCGATGACGAGGTTAACCTCCATATTGCGAGAGCCAGTGCAACCTATGGAAGATTGACTAAGAACGTATGGACCAGGAGAGGTATCAACACTCAAAAAAAGATGAAGGTATATCAGGCGGCTGTTCTCCCTACGCTTCTCTATGCCTGTGAGACGTGGACAGTCTACCAAGAATGCTGAACCACTTTCATACAACAAGACTCAGAAAAATCCTCAACATTAAATGGCAGGACTGGGTCCCAGACACTGAGGTGCTCACACGGGCAGGTCTCCCCAGCATCTTCACAATCTTGATGAAGTCCCAGCTTTGCTGGGTGGGAAATGTTGTGAGAGTGTCAGATGACCATCTGCCCAAAGGAATTTTCTATGGTGAGCTTAAACAAGGAAAGCGGTCTGCTGGCGGACAGAAAAAACGCTTTAAAAGACAACATAAAAGCCTCAATGAAAGCGTTCAACACAAAGCCAGACATGTGAGAGGAACAGGCAAAGGATCGAATTTCATGGCGTTCTACTTTGCACGGGAGCTCCATACAACATGAAGTTGGTAGAACAGCGACTGCAGAGCGAAAGAGACATGCAAGAAAGACCCGGTCTGACTCTGCTCCCGGATATGCGCCATCATTCCCCATATTTTTTGTAAAGCAAACTTGTATGACGCAGATGGACCTGCAAAAATATTTCTTAATGAAAGTGATTTTGAAGATAATTTATTCGGCATCACTTATGCTAGTTATAATTACGATAGTTGAGCAAGTACTTTAAATTCTTTTGTGAAAGAAGTTGAGAATGGCTACTATAGGTTTTAACAGGCTGTAACAGACAAAGTTAACTATGATTTTTCACACGTCACTAATATCTATTCTCTCGGCACAATGGCGTAGTGATTTGATGATAATGAAGTAAAACACAAGAAAAAGGAGGACTAGTTTTTATAGCGTTGGGAGAATTCATGTTTTTTAAGTAGAGCACAGGAGTGAACAAGATATCTTGGATGTGAGAGGACATGTTGAATTTTTTTAATGGATTATTGAATTAATGTTAGATGGAGTATTACTGAACGTGTGTTTATGTATATATATTTTTTGCATTGCAACTATGATTGTTAAAAAGACATCCTGATATCAAGGAATTATTTGACTTACTTAGTATATGTAATAAAGTGCTGTGTATATGATTCATTTGGACGTTGTTTATTCTTAAGAGAGAAAAAGTAGACAGTTTTTGAGGAGTGGAATGAATTATTCAATTAGTAGCGGCAAGTCATGCAGCTCACTGATGTAGCTAACTTTGTATGAGTAACTTCCATCTACAAAGGTTACAATATACAGTTGTTACATAGGCATTATATCAAGAAATTAGTAGGTCACAAATGAATATATTTTTATTTTTAAAAATTTCTATAAATTCAAATAATTTTATATTTCCTTAACTGAAAGGATATAGTTTTCTGTATTGTCATATTCATTTCACATAGCTCTAAAAATTCCAAAATTCATACCATATGATTCCTTGTCCAACTTACTCTCAGAAAATCTTAACTTATTTTCACTCTCTGGATTCAATTCTTATTAGTTTTGGGTATTTTAGTGATACATATCAAACTTACTAAAACATACTTAATACCTCAGCATGACTGCACTTGACAGTTTGTGGTTAAAAATCAAACAATTTTAACAAAGGACATAACAAACAAAAAACAGAAAAAAACTCCAATCCAAGCAGAAAAACTTGCTTTAAAAAATCCCTTATTTATAATTGTAACCAATGTTAATAAGGCCCCGCCACTCCAAACCACAAACAAATCAGAATGCAGTTTAAAAAAACGTACAGGATATTGTCCAATCAAATGAGTTGTTAGGAATCCTCCATGGGACCCACCAAACTTAAATATCCTTGAGCCATCAACCAGTCCTTTAGCTATCACCTCCACCATGGCACTCTGAAACAAAGATCAAACAAACACATGTGCATGCCAAAGTCAGATAATCAATTTCACAACTCTATGATAATATGTGAACACATCATAAGAATTAAATTTTCAACCTACCACTAGATGAAACTGTCGGCGGAGGGTTTGCCTCCTCGTGGCGCGGCACACTAGTAAGGTGAACCTAACCCTTGCTTTCAGGTAATACCAAGTCTCCCTCGAGACCGTGACCATGAAGGAAGGTCTCTTTAATCTGGTTTTCTTTACTCACTTCTCCTGTAACTGAAAGCACAGCTTGGTAAGTCTTTACAGACGGCTCATGCTTCGCGGGGAAAACCGCAGTGGTTATGGTGCTCTCATCCAATATCCACACACGATAGCTCCACCCAAGGAACTATCAGGCCCAGTGGAAAGAATAGAACAGGCTTCGATGCAGAACTAGAAGCAGTACTGGTCGCCCTTAAGAGAGTCCACAAACGCCTGGTGAAGAGAGAAAAATGTCCCCAATATCATGGTTTTCACTGACTCACGTCCCTCTGCTCTCAAGAGTGTGGGAAGGGGCTTGAAGGAGGCCCTGATGGTTAGTGCCATTCTGGAGACAGTAGGTAGCATCCATGCAAAGTCCTTCAGTTTATCACTGGGCATGTTGGGGTGACGCAGAATGACAGGGCAGACTATCTTGCACGAGAAGGACTGGCTCAGCCGCAACCCAATAAACCCATGACCCAGCTGGTGGGTCAAAGCTTGGTTGAAAGACAATTTTTGTGAGAAAAAAGGCTTAGTGGCTGGGGTGCAGGAGACACTGGACAGCAGCTATACCAGAGTAAGTGTGTGGCGAAATGTTGTCTAGGGGTAGGTCTCTCTTCCAATGGCCACAGACAACAACACTATCCAATCAGAGCCTAAACTCCGTTTTCTTTCTCTCTGATAGGAACTTAACGATATAGTTTGAAGTAAAATGTATAATTTAATTCTTTATGTAATGTGCCAAGACAAAATGCATAACAAACCAACCAGCAACAATACTATTCATCTGTGGAACAAGTGAATTGCCAGGAACTATAGTAGCAAATCAGTCACTCATTTCTTTAAACAAATACAGCCTGATGTCCATTACGATTCTTTGCATTCATATTCTCCCCGCACCAATATATCGCACCACCGGAAATTTGTCATAGCGCTTTCATTGCTGAGAAAAAGTGGTGCGACACACGGGGAAGTCCCTAAAGAAAACATCATTGCTCACTGAAACAATTATTAACCAGACACATAACATAAACATGCGATATGACCGTGACAATGTGCGACAGAGCAAAAGCAATCCTTGGTGGAACCTTAAGAGATGAGAGCAGAGCCTCATCACCCAAATGAGGACAGGTCATTGTGCGACGCGCAGGTACCTCAATAGATTTGATGACAGAAGGGATCCCAACTGCCGATTTTGTGACAAGGCCGACGAGAGGGTGACTGCCCTGGAAGTGAAACAGGGGCGGAGGGTCAGGTCACAGAGAGCCTTGAAAACATGATTTATGGCGACGTCCACCAGATGAGACATGCCGCGGAAATATTGGCCAGGGCTATAAGAGAGTAATCTCAGGCCACATTAAAGGATGTCAAATTAAAACAACCTACCAATTGATTCAAACAAACTACCATTTGATTAACACGACCCACCACTTGATTAAAACAGACTACCACTTGATTAACACGACCCACCACTTGATTAAAACAAACTACCATTTGATTAACACAACCCACCACTTGATTAAAACAAACTACCACTTGATTAACACGACCCACCACTTGATTAAAACAGACTACCATTTGATTAACACGACCCACCACTTGATTCAAACAAACTACCATTTGATTAACACGACCCACCACTTGATTAAAACAAACTACCATTTGATTAACACGACCCACCACTTGATTCAAACAAACTACCACTTGATTAACACGACCCACCACTTGATTAAAACAGACTACCATTTGATTAACACGACCCACCACTTGATTCAAACAAACTACCATTTGATTAACACAACCCACCACTTGATTCAAACAAACTACCATTTGATTAACACGACCCACCACTTGATTCAAACAAACTACCATTTGATTAACACGACCCACCACTTGATTAAAACAAACTACCACTTGATTAACACGACCCACCACTTGATTAAAACAAACTACCACTTGATTAACACGAGGGTGGTGAACTAATTTTGTTTGATGGTCTTGATTAACACGACCCACCACTTGATTAAAACAAACTACCATTTGATTAACACGACCCACCACTTGATTCAAACAAACTACCACTTGATTAACACGACCCACCACTTGATTAAAACAGACTACCACTTGATTAACACGACCCACCACTTGATTCAAACAAACTACCACTTGATTAACACGACCCACCACTTGATTAAAACAGACTACCACTTGATTAACACGACCCACCACTTGATTAAAACAAACTACCACTTGATTAACACGACCCACCACTTGATTAAAACAAACTACCACTTGATTAACACGACCCACCACTTGATTAAAACAAACTACCATTTGATTAACACGACCCACCACTTGATTCAAACAAACTACCACTTGATTAACACGACCCACCACTTGATTAAAACAGACTACCACTTGATTAACACGACCCACCACTTGATTCAAACAAACTACCACTTGATTAACACGACCCACCACTTGATTAAAACAGACTACCACTTGATTAACACGACCCACCACTTGATTAAAACAAACTACCACTTGATTAACACGACCCACCACTTGATTAAAACAAACTACCACTTGATTAACACGACCCACCACTTGATTAAAACAAACTACCATTTGATTAACACGACCTACCACTTGATTAAAATAACCTACCTCTTGATTAAAATAACCTATCATTTGATTAAAGCAACCTACAACTTGATTGAACCAACCTATCACTTGAGCACTCATGGACTAGTGCTTATGGACTTGTTATTTTCCAGTGATGTAAAGATAGAGAAAACACCACAAGTTACCTCAACATCCATGACATCCTGAGTTCCTATATTGCCAGTTAAAGAGAGGATGCTGTCCTGGCCAAAGCCGAGTGAACCTCTATAATTCACTGACAAAAATAAAGTCAGCATTAAATTATTCAGACCATAAGATGACAGGTAAAATAAAGATTAACCTTCTTAATATTATTAACACATAGATGCAACATATTGACGTCAGTTATAAATCATCAATTATATTTTGACAACTTTCATTATGTTGCTGTTATTTATTTACATCGTCCATAGTTTAGAAGCCACATACAACATCATTCATAATCTAGCAGCCACATACAACATCAGCCATAATCTAGCAGCCACATACAACATCAGCCAGAATCTAGCAGCCACATACAACATCAGCCAGAATCTAGCAGCTACATACAACATCAGCCACAATTAACAGCCACATACAACATCAGCCATAATCTAGCAGCCACATACAACATCAGCTATAATCTAGCAGCCACATACAACATTAGCCAGAATCTAGTAGCCACATACAACATCAGCTATAATCTAGCAGCCACATGCAACATCAGCCAGAATCTAGCAGCCACATACAACGTCAGCCAGAATCTAGCAGCTACATACAACATTGGCCACAATCTAGCAGCCACATACAACATCAGCTATAATCTAGCAGCCACATACAACATCAGCCAGAATCTAGCAGTCACATAAAACATCAGCCAGACTCTAGCAGTTACATACAACATCAGCCAGAATCTAGCAGCCACATACATCAGCCAGAATCTAGCAGCCACATACAACATCAGCCAGAATCTAGCAGCTACATACAACATCAGCCATAATCTAGCAGCCACATAAAACATCAGCCAGAATCTAGCAGTTACATACAACATCAGCCATAATCTAGCAGCCACATACATCAGCCATAATCTAACAGCCACATACATCAGCCATAATCTAACAGCCACATACATCAGCCATAATCTAGCAGCTGCATACATCAGCCAGAATCTAGCAGCCACATACAACATCAGCCAGAATCTAGCAGCTACATGCAACATCAGCCAGAATCTAGCAGCCACATAAAACATCAGCCAGAATCTAGCAGTTACATACAACATCAGCCATAATCTAGCAGCCACATACATCAGCCATAATCTAGCAGCCGCATACATCAGCCATAATCTAGCAGCCACATAAAACATCAGCCAGAATCTAGCAGCCGCATACATCAGCCATAATCTAGCAGCCACATACATCAGCCATAATCAAGCAGCCACATACATCAGCCATAATCTAGCAGCCACATACATCAGCCATAATCTAGCAGCCACATACATCAGCCATAATTAAGTGGCCACGTACATCAGCCATAATTAAGTGGCCACATACATCAGCCATAATTAAGTGGCCACGTACATCAGCCATAATTAAGTGGCCACGTACATCAGCCATAATTAAGTGGCCACGTACATCAGCCATAATTAAGTGGCCACGTACATCAGCCATAATTAAGTGGCCACACACAAGTTACCCATTAAAACAGCATATCCACATGTACAGAAAAAAGCTGAAATAATGTTGAATGACGTGTCAAACACAGAGTTGGGTCCCCCTGTTGATACAACAAGTGATTAAATAAAGCAGTCAGCTGAAATCATAAACAATGATATCTAGAAACAATGATCTGCACACTAGAAACAATTATAACTATATATAAAATGTAGCTATGTCTACAAGTCTAATCTATGTATACAGGTTAGTATCTATGTGTATAGGTCAATATTTATGTGTACAGGTGAATATCTATGCTTTATGTCATCTATGAGTACAGGTCAATGTTTTTGTGTACAGCTGAATATCTAAGTGTAGAAGCCATATCTAAAGGTACCAGTGAGATGCATTAAAACATTTTACTCACCATGCGAAAAAACTATTAGGGGAGGCAATGTACCAGATTGACTTTGCTTTGGGAGACACAGAATACTCTCATAATCCACATTTTCTGTAATATGAGATTGATAAGAAAATTGACAGGTTGGAGGCAGTCCAGTGACGGGCGGCTCGCTTTGTCCTGAACCAATACAGGAATACCTCTAATGTTGGCAGTATGCTGGAAACACTAGGCTGGTCACCTTTGGAGGAACAATGACGACAATCCAGGGTCTCCATGATGTACAAAATAAATAATAGGCTGGTCCACTGTTCCAGTATAAAACAGAAACTCGTCCCTCTCCCCATAGACAGCGACGAGGCCATGACAGGCAATTCAGGCTCCTACCAGCAAGAAGCCAGTATAGGAGCTGCTCATTCCTGCCCTTGACAATCAGGGACTGGAACAAGCTTTCAAAAGGAACAGTTGAGGCAACACTAGACACATTTGTGTCTATTGCCTCAAGCCTTCCAACCCCCATTGCATGATTCCTTCATAAAGTAGCACTTGTAATCATTGAAATATCCTCATCAGCCCCAGGCACATAAACATTGCAAATCCCCTCTACATGCATAGGAGCCAAAATGATGAATAAATTGATCGTGGGCCCTTAAGATATAGAAGAAGAAGAAGAAACTATTAGTTCGTAGTCCACATTTTCTGTAATATGAGATAGAAACTATAAGTTCCTAGTCCACATTTTCTGTAATATGAGATAGAAACTATAAGTTCCTAGTCCACATTTTCTGTAATATGAGATAGAAACTATAAGTTCCTAGTCCACATTTTCTGTAATATGAGATAGAAACTATTAGTTCGTAGTCCACATTTTCTGTAATATGAGATAGAAACTATGAGTTCCTAGTCTACATTTTCTGTAATATGAGATAGAAACTATAAGTTCCTAGTCTACATTTTCTGTAATATGAGATAGAAACTATAAGTTCTTAGTCCACATTTTCTGTAATATGAGATAGAAACTATAAGTTCCTAGTCTACATTTTCTGTAATATAACAGAGACTATTCGTCATTGTAATTTACTGTGTGGCTTTAAGTGCTTTTAAAAACATCACATCCATAATATAATAAAGCTGGATTTTTGCAATTTCACTCACATTTTGTTTTGCCCCATTGTTTTGTATAAACCCACACATAATGAAAGTACTAATGAAGGTAGATAGATTAATCCAGATGTGAAGTGTACCTACCATACTTTGGGTTTATTCTACTCTTAGAAGGTTTGTGAACCAGAACACTGAAAGTCAACCAGTCCAGTGTCTCCATATGATCATCAGGATAAATCCATGAAATACTGGACAAGTTACTGGGATCATTGACCTGAGCCAACAGCTGAAAGGAAAAAGGGTCATTAATATGAGCCAGCAGCTGAAGAGATAAAGGGTTGTTTATATGAGCCAGCAGCTGAAGAGATAAAGGGTCGTTTATATGAGCCAGCAGCTGAAGAGATAAAGGGTCGTTTATATGAGCCAGCAGCTGAAGAGATAAAGGGTCGTTTATATGAGCCAACAGCTGAAAGGAAAAAGGGTCATTAATATGAGCCAGCAGCTGAAGAGATAAAGGGTCGTTTATATGAGCCAGCAGCTGAAGAGATAAAGGGTCATTTATATGAGCCAGCAACTGAAGAGATAAAGGGTCGTTTATATGAGCCAGCAACTGAAGAGATAATGGGTCGTTTATAAGGGCCAACAGCTGAAGAGATAAAGTAGAATATTTTCTGCAATGTTCATTATTTTACTGTAGTCGTAATGTCCAATAAATTTTTCCTGGCTTTTCTGTCAAATATGGTTGGCCTGGCTGTATGACAGACAACTCCAGAAAAGTCCCCGCTCATTTAAGACTCAACTATTCTGAGCCTGTCAGTGGTTACAAATTATTAAAGTTATCACTATAGAAGATTGAAAATGAAGTCAAAATTTAATCATGACATCCAACAGTAATTCAATGATTACACTTAAATAATCAGCATTAAAAAAAACATTCCAAAACAACACAATGAATCATCTTGTTTAAAAAGTCTCACCAAATTGTACGGCTGATTGAGGGTTGAGTAATACATCATCACTACATTTCTCTTTACACCGAGGAATCCATAGGAGGCTTGAGCTGACACAGAAAGTGAAGGAAAAACAAATTCAATTATTACAACTAACGGATGTTTTAATTATTTTAACTAAATGAGCTTTTAATTATTTTAACTAAATGATGTTTTAATTATTTGAAATAACTGATGTTCTAGTTATTTTAACTAAATGATGTTTTAATTATTTGAAATAACTGATGTTCTAGTTATTTTAACTAACTGATGTTTTAATCATTTTAACTAAATGATGTTTTAATTATTTTAACTAAATGATGTTTTAGTTATTTTAACTAACTGATGTTTTAGTTATTTTAACTAACTGATGTTTTAGTTATTTTAACTAACTGATGTTTTAGTTATTTTAACTAACTGATGTTTTAATTATTTTAACTAACTGATGTTTTAGTTATTTTAACTAACTGATGTTTTAATTATTTTAACTAACTGATGTTTTAATTATTTTAATTAACTGATGTTTTAATTATTTTAACTAAATGATGTTTTAGTTATTTTAACTAACTGATGTTTTAGTTATTTTAACTAACTGATGTTTTAATTATTTTAACTAACTGATGTTTTAATTATTTTAACTAAATGATGTTTTAATTATTTTAACTAAATGATGTTTTAATTATTTTAACTAAATGATGTTTTAATTACTTCCTATACATAAATTATTTTCTAACTTATTCCGCAGATATATTTGTTTTATTAAGTATAAAATAATTTGATCTCCTTTATAGAACCAATTATTCGGATATTATTTAATGTGAAAAGAGCATATTTAACAAATACACTCACGGTTGATATTTGCTTGTGTATCGGCAGTGTCCACTTCAAGTCTTGTAATCTTTCCATTATCGGTGTTGACGACAATTACAGCCTGGGGAAACATGAACAACTTGGTTTTAACATCTGGACAATTGTTTAGCTGATTAAATTCAAGTTAATATAAAAAAAATTATTTTTTTTAAATGTTTAACTATAAATATAAGATCTGTGCAGTAGTTTTGTTGTTTAAACTCAAGTTTACGTAAACTAAAACCAATAAATATAACATCTGTACTATTGTTTTGTTCATTAAGTTAAACTTTATGTAATCTAAAACATATAAATATGTTCAACTTGCATTTTTTTTTACAGGATTTATGATAGAAGATTGAATCATTAAAATGAAGATCTGACTACTTTCTGGTTTTGTTGTAGGATATTTATAAAAATGTTGTATGATTAAAGTGTTGAGAAATATCACCAGCTTGTTACGCTGGTTCTATATTAATATCCTCTAATACAACTTGTTTTCACATGCACTCAAAGGCGTAGCGAAAAGGGGGGGGGGGAGGGCAGGGGGGACAGAAGTCCCATGGCTCCAGCTAGTTAGGGGTGCCAGCTAGTTAGGAGCACCAGCTAGTTAGGAGCACCAGCTAGTTAGGTGGGCACTTTAAACTGAAAGTTGTCCCTGGGCACAAAACACTCTAGCTACGCCTCTGCACTGAATCTATAATAATAATTAATATCCTCTAATGCAACTTGTTTTCACATTCTCTAATACAACTTGTTTTCACGTACACTGATTCTATATTAATATCCTCTAAAACAACTTGTTTTAACATACACTGATTAAATATTAATATCCTTTAATGCAAATTGTTTTCACATACACTGATTCTACATTAATATCCTCTAATACAACTTATTTGCAAATACATCAATTCTATATTAATATCCTCTAATACTGCGGTTCTCAACCTGAGGGTAGCGACCTCTTTAGGGGTCGAACTACCCTTACACAGGGGTCGCCTTAGATCATTGGAAAACACTTATTTATGAAGAAGCAACCTTGTGCGAAGATACTGATCTTCCATCGTGCGCCTCCCCAGGTTGCGGATAATGGAAAGCCCACCAAATATGGAGGGTACCGGGGAAATAAAATTCCCGGGGCGGACCAAAATCAGAATCTATTGCCTTGTAGGAAATGGAGGGATCCGCAAGGGCTAAGGAGAAAAACTAAGGCAGCTACCCAGAGATCTGTAAGGGGCAGCCCCCCAGATGGTTGCGTGCAGGGTTTACAACCCAGCCATGTAAAAAATCAATGTTACGGAAGCCAATCAACCCAATAAAACCCAGACTGATACCAATGGAAATCAACCTATGCCTGGATTTGGACATGATTTTCTGATTGCGACTTGCATATTACTAAGCTGGTTCAAAGCAGGAGCCTTAGCCAACCTTGTAAATCAACTGGTTAAATATAAAATATATATTGCTGTATTGCAAGAAATTTGATGGAAAAAATCAGACACTAACACTCTAGGAGCTGGATTTGCAGTAGAAAAATAAGCAGTCAGTGCAGTCATAGGCTTCAAACAAGAAAATTAAAGATTGTGTTCTTTGTGTGTGCAAGGAAAAATGTTCAATATAACATTCATAAATGTACATGGTCCCACCTAATATCTGGAAGATCAGGAGAAAGAATCCTTTTATGAGACAATAGAAAAGATCCACGAAGAAGCACCACGACATGATATTAAAATAGTGATTGGAGACTTTAACGCCAAAATAGGACAAGAAAAGGTGTTCATGCCAACTATTGGCAAGGAAAGTCTGCATGAAAAATCCAATGACAATGGGATCCGACTCATAGACTTTACTTTAGGAAATGGGATGTCAGTAGCAGCACCAAGTTTCCGCACAAAAATATACATTAAGTTACTTGAAACTCACAGCATGGAATCAGCCTCAACCCAATTGACCATGTTCTTATTGATCAGAGACATGGATCAGATATACTAGATGTAAGAAGCAATCAAGGAGCAGATGCACACTCTAACTCTCTACTTGTAAGGGTTAAATATTAGCATAGAATAAACATAATTCACAATGGACGTAATCAAAGAGAGAAACGTTATGATTACCAAAAGCTTACCAAAGACCCACTAACTGCAAAAGGATACCAAAATGAAGTATCACAGGAAGAAGTGAACAGGGAAAACAACATAAATGAAAAATGGGATAGGATGAGAAATGCCATTAAAAGATCAACAGAAAAAGTAGTAGGATTTCAGCTAACTAACAATAGAGTAAGCTGGTTTGAAAATGAATACAGAGAGACAGACGAAGATAGGAACAGAGAACGAATGATCATGTTACAAAGGGAAATCAGAAGGACAACATAAACACTAAACCAACTCAAGGTTCAAGGAGAATATTCAAGGGAATTTCAGATTAGACGAGGCCGAAGACAAGGCAAGGAGACTCACTGTCTTGTATGCTATTTAACCAAACATTAGAGAGAGTTATTACAAACATACATATTGACACCAGACGAACAATAACAGGATACTTTCTGAGGGAGACCCAAGACCCACAACCAAAGGGCACTCTCTACAATCAACCCCTTCAGTATCTTGCATATGCTGATGACATAGTACTGCGAGGGAAAAGTATTTAAGACATATCAAAATCCTTTATTGAATTAGATGACACATCACTACAAGCAGGGCTGGAAATTGAAGATGAAGCCATTAAAATTAAAAACCACACTTTTCAAAAAGTAAATCAATTCAAATATCTAGAATCTTTATTAAATGAAATAAACAAATTACTAACAGAGATAAAAGAAAGAATATCAGCCTGAAACAGGGCATACTTCATGAGTCAGAAAATACTCAAAAGTAAAAACATTACAAGAGAAACAAAGAAAACTATTTATAAAACTGTGATCAGATCAGTTATAACATATGCAAGTAAACTTGGACCCTAACAAAAATGGCAGAAAAACTATTACACATGGGACAGAAAAGTGCTCAGGAAATATATGGACCAACAAAGGATTAATATGGATGGAGAATACGAACCAACCATGAATGGTACAGTCTATATCAGGACCTCATGATAGTAGCAGAAATAAAAAAATGGCAGGCTACGCTGGGCAGGGCACTTAGAGAGAAGGCCAAATGACTGAAGAGTAAAGAGGGTGCATCACCAAAACCCAGAGGAAAACGGCTCATAGGCAGACCTAGGCTTAGATGAATGGATGATGTGGAAAATGATCTATAACAACTGGGAATCCAAGCATGGAAAAGAAAAGCTTCAGTTAGGTCTGAGTGGAAGGAAGTAGTGAGGCAGGCCAAAGCCCTACATGGGCTGTAGCGCCACAGGGATGGCTGGATGATGAAGAAGCAACGAAAGTTATTTTATGGTTGGGGGGTCAACACAACATGAGGAACTGTATGAAAGCATCGCGGCATTAGGAAGGTTGAGAACCACTGCTCTAATACAACTTGTTTTGACATACACTGATACTCCTCCAGCTCGTTGACATGGCAATGTGGATGTTGTCATCAAACCAAACCTGTCTGGCCAGGTTGTATGTGTAAATACCTGGAAACTCCAAATCTGAAAAGACAAGGTCAGTTAATGAGAATTAAAAAATAAGTAAAAAAATAAAATGTGTATGCCTCCAAAATAATGATTGTGATACCTCTAAAATAATGATTGGGATACCTCTAAAATAATGATTGGGATACCTCTAAAATAATGATTGAGATACCTCTAAAATAATGATTGGGATACCTGTATAATGATGATTGGGATATCTGTATAATGATGATTGGGATACCTGTATAATGATGATTGGGATACCTGTATAATGATGATTGGGATACCTGTATAATGATGATTGGGATACCTGTATAATGATGATTGGAATACCTGTATAATGATGATTGGGATACCTGTATAATGATGATTGGGATACCTCTAAAATAATGATTGGGATACCTCTAAAATAATGATTGGGATACCTCTAAAATAATGATTGAGATACCTCTAAAATAATGATTGGGATACCTGTATAATGATGATTGGGATACCTCTAAAATAATGATTGGGATACCTGTATAATGATGATTGGGATACCTCTAAAATAATGATTGGGATACCTGTATAATGATTGGGATACCTCTAAAATAATGATTGGGATACCTGTATAATGATGATTGGGATACCTCTAAAATAATGATTGGGATACCTGTATAATGATGATTGGGATACCTCTAAAATAATGATTGGGATACCTCCAAAATGATGATTGGGATACCTGTATAATGATGATTGGGATACCTTTAACGTTTAAAAGGACTAAATTCTTGGATCAACCTTTTGTCTACTGAATTTGTGTCTGCCTTTGGACGGACTTAAGTACTTAATGCAAGAAAAGATTTAATACGACAGACATGATTTTAATATAAATTTAAAAGGAAATGAAAGCTAAAAATAAATGAAACATTTAGTCGTGGATTATCATTGGATGGCTTCAACATTTCCCAGTCCCAATAAAACTATTTATACATCCAAAGTGATTTAATTTTACTTAATAAAATTATGCAAAAATGATTCAGTGTGCCCTAATTTAGTTTCTCTGAAAGAAGAGGTCTTATATTAACTGATAAGTGAATTAAGAATACGAATCTTTCTACAACAGAACAAATGATTTAACAAATACATGTAATTCACGCAGTTGGTATAACTGCACACAATAGGTAAAGAGAAAGTAAAGAGAAAGTAAAGAGAAGGTAAAGAAAAAGTAAAGAGAAAGTAAAGAAAAGTAAAGAGTAGTTAAAGAGAAAGAGTGAAAAGCTAAGCATAAAAACAAGAGATAGTGATAGTTCTCACCAGGTGCATGTTTCACCTCATCAACAACAACTTGTCGGTTGCGAGTTGCCCAGTCAATCTAGATCAAGAAATTAACCATTAAATTTAACAATGAAAGAAGCAGACAGATTCACAGAATTCTATATCTGCATGCACCAAAACTTTGGTAATTGTAACTAAAAGCTGTAAGAGTTTCATTAGATTTGATAAAAAATGGAGGACATGAGGTAAGTGTAGTTCCAGTGATTCTCACCTTGACAAGACGTGCACATTGGTTGTGGGGCCCTCCTTCAGGTACATCCAGATAAATAAGTTTACTCATGTCAGGGCTGAAGCGGGGAAATCTCACAGCGCGTCCATCTTGACTCAGTAAATCTGAAGACACAATAATTGAAATCAGTACATCTTAAGACACAGACATTGAAATCAGTAAATCTAAAGACACAGTCATTGAAATCAGTACATCTGAAGACATAATCATTGTAATCAGTAAGCTACTGTCATATTTATTCTGTACCTTCATCAGTACATAGAAAACTGTAATTTAAATTAGGCTTTCAAATGTTTCCAAATGTACTTTAAATGTATTCCAAGTGTATTCCAAACATACTCCAAAATGTATTCCAAATGTATTCTAAATGTATTCTAAATGATGTAAAGTTGTTGAAAAAGCCTAGGGGCCAGTACAAACAAAGGGTTCTCATGATGTAAAGTTGTTGAAAAAGCCTAGGGGCCAGTACAAACAAACTAAGGGTTCTCATGATATAAACCACTTACGTCCAGGGATATATTTCAGGGCTCTGTAACTTTGGTGGATTTGTTAACTTTGATTCTTAGTGTAGTAGGTTTAGATGAAGTTGATTGTAAATAAGATTTGTTAACTTTGATTCTTAGTATAGTAGATTTAGATAAAGTTGATTGTAAATAAGATTTGTTTACTTTGATTCTTAGTATAGTTGTTTAGATGAAGTTGATTGTAAATAAGATTTGTTAACTTTGATTCTTAGTATAGTAGGTTTAGATGAAGTTGATTGTAAATAAGATTTGTTAACTTTGATTCTTAGTATAGTAGGTTTAGATGAAGTTGATTGTAAATAAGATTTGTTTACTTTGATTCTTAGTATGGTAGGTTTAGATAAAGTTGATTGTAAATAAGATTTGTTTACTTTGATTCTTAGTATAGTTGTTTAGATGAAGTTGATTGTAAATAAGATTTGTTAACTTTGATTCTTAGTATAGTAGGTTTAGATGAAGTTGATTGTAAATAAGATTTGTTAACTTTGATTCTTAGTATAGTAGGTTTACATGAAGTTGATTGTAAATAAGATTTGTTAACTTTGATTCTTAGTGTAGTGGGTTTAGATGAAGTTGATTGTAAATAAGATTTGTTAACTTTGATTCTTAGTGTAGTAGGTTTAGATGAAGTTGATTGTAAATAAGATTTGTTAACTTTGATTCTTAGTATAGTAGGTTTAGATGAAGTTGATTGTAAATAAGATTTGTTTACTTTGATTCTTAGTATGGTAGGTTTAGATGTACTTGATTTTTAATCAAATTTGTTAACTTTGATTCTTAGTGTAGTAGGTTTTGATGAAGTTGATTGTAAATAAGATTTGTTTACTTTGATTCTTGGTATAGATGGTTTAGGTGTAGACTGTATTTAAGATTTATTAAAATTGATTCTTAGTATTGTAGAGCACCTTGGCTCGTCTCTGTTCTACTTTCATTTCTCTATTTTGTTGTTTGGCTGATAACATTTGATCCTACTGTAACTTGTATTTCAACAATCAAGTAACAGACAACTCGACGATGGTTACAGCCCTTGATCTTGTCTTTCTCTGCTACTTCAATTCACTTTGACTCGTCTCACACTCAGCTCTGACATTCACAGCACGTCTCTTTACTGTGGTCTCCACACTGTCCTTTACTCCTGTCCGGCTGAGTTCTACCCCAACAGTCTACTTTCCCGCCTGGTTGAGTTCTCCTTAGCCCCATCTAACGGTCCGCTATTATAAGTAACCATAACCAAATAGGTCGTGGCGTCTCTAGAGATTCCTTCCCAGGGATATCTATTTCTACATCTCTGGTACTAAAATGAACCGAACACTTCCCTCTGTCTAAATGAACATTAACTTGCCAGCACCATCACCGTCACACTAGCCTCGTTCTGGTGCAATCTCATAACCTGTCACAGTTGTGGACGGCGCCAGTCTGCCCTGCCTAAGTTCCCCCACCCTCGGTTTGCCTTGACATTACCGTACTCATTTGCTGGCCAGCATGGGTGCCCGCAGAAAACTTTCTGGGGGCAAAAATTTTTTAGTAATGTTTTAATATAGTTTTAATTTACTGTAGCGTATTTGTATGGTCAACGAACAGACAGGACATCAACTTAGTTACTTTCTCTTTATTTTCTCTTACTTTGATAAATTTGTTGTCTATTTTTGTCTAAATTTTTTTTATCTAATCAATCCGGGGGGGGGGCCAAGTGCCTGCGGGCGCCCATGCTGGCCACCCACCTCTTCATTCCAATGTCCTGATTTATAATACTGTCACCATCAAGGTAGTACTAGCTTCGTCATGGTGTCATCTGACACCCTACGACAGTTGGACAGTCATACTGAGTGAATTCCCTCACCCCTGGACCCCCAGGTCGGCTACCCAGGCCTGGTCTCTCCACAGTATAGAAGGTTTAGATGTAGCTGACTGTATAGAAGATTTGTATAAGAAAGCAGGCCTACCTAATGAGCCCTTTTGTAAGTCCAGATAATATAGAGCACTCCTGTAATGAACAGATAATACATCATTTTAACCATTTTTCAGAAAACTATACATTTAAAACAAAAACTTTCTTCTTTATAATTTCCCACTTTATGCTCCTCACTAATTAATCTTTAAAACACCTGTGGAGGATGATCTTAAAATATCCATACAATATCTTCAGGGACTTTGTTACATCACAATGTAGAGTTTAGCTTAGATTGATGTGGCAATTGTAAGGCATCATGACCATTAACTTATTTTAAAGCTGAAGCTAGAATCAGACACTTACTTTCTCTGGCAGCAGAACTTGAGACCAAGGCGATAGGGGGAGTGCTTCCAGGTGCAGACAACAATACCGGCATCATCTGGTCCCCACATGGCCTAGATATAAGCATGTCATATCATTGGTTTAATCTAATTCTAAGTTGGTCTTTGTTTTCCTGGTCCAGTTGTTCAATAAGTGAAATGGCTTCAAATGACAAGTTCATGTCAAGTTGGCTTTAAAAGACAAGTTCATGTAAAGATGGCTTCAAATGACAAGTTCATGTCAACAAAGCTTCAAATGACAAGTTCATTTCAACTTGGCTTCAAATGACAAGTTCATGTCAAATTGGCAGTACGTTAACACAGGTTTGAAAATGCCATTACTTTAAAGATGAACACTGAACACTAGTTTTGTACATTCAGTATTCTCCATACTACACCATCAAGTGCAGCTCTACCAGTTGGAGGTTTGGGAGACATCAAAGAATTATGCCCATCTAAGAATTATGCCCTCTAAGAATTATGCCCATCTAAGAATTATGCCCTCTAAGAATTATGCCCATCTAAGTATTATGCCCATCTAAGAATTATGCCATCTAAGAATTATGCCTATCAAAGAATTATGACCATATAAGAATTATCCCCATCTAAGAATTATGCCCTCTAAGAACTATGCCCTCTAAGAATTATGCCCATCTAAGAATAATGCCATCTAAGAAATTATCCCCATATAAGAATTATCCCCATCAAAGAATTATGCCCATCAAAAGATTAAAATGATAAAGGCTTTAAGGTTTGTTGATGTGTGCATTAATTTTCTGGTAATACAAACCTGACCGGCTGACTCATCATCTGGAATATTCTCTAAAACACTGACTGTGTTGGACTCAATGTCAAGGACACACACAACTGGATGGACACGTTCGGTTAGCTGTTCACCCCAAGTTTCAATATGTTCAAATTCATCTCCCTGTGTTCAAACAATTCAGAATAAAATAAAAGTAGATTTTGTCTAAAAGAAGGAGAAAAAAATTATTATTATTTCCTAAATAAAAGTGATAAACATGTATAGTCTCATTAGCATGCACGCATACATTGATTTTGATATTTTGATGACCATCTTGACATGTCCAATTAGCATTGTGTTAGGATAACTCAGTGCAACATATTCAGGACACAGTGCATCACATTCTAGACACAGTGCAACATATTCAGGACACAGTGCATCACATTCTAGACGTAGTGCAACATATTCAGGACACAGTGCATCCCATTCTAGACACAGTGCAACATATTCAGGACACAGTGCATCACATTCTAGACACAGTGCAACATATTCAGGACACAGTGCATCACATTCTAGGCACAGTGCAACATATTCAGGACAAAGTGCATCACATTCTAGGCACAGTGCAACATATTCAGGACACAGTGCAACAACAGGGCAGCACATCTAAGGGAGCTGACAAATTAAAGTTAATCCAGACAGCAAGTGAATTAGTATGAACTGATTGGATCAAGTTTCAGATCTTTAATACAGTACCATCTATATTTAATTACACAAAATGTAATTTTGTGAGATTTCAATAAATTGTCATTATAGATATTATTTTGTGAGAGATGATATTCTTGTATCAAAGTATTTCTAAGTGTGGCAGAAATGAAACTACCCTTCGGACCAGGTCTGGTTTCTCATTGGGTAAGTCGTCATCCCCACTGCCGCTGTCCTTGTAAGCTTTGGGATCAAAGTAGCTGCCCGTTTTGGCTTTCTTTTTCTCAGCCAGGTACAACAGGTGTCCTTCAGAGGAGGACCACTCAAAACTTCCAAACTGACCTAAAAGATAAATGATAACTCCATATTAGAAAGATGCATAATACTATAGATTTAATGGTGCCTTAAATATTTTATAGTGTTGCATGTTCAAATATAGTGTTTGTATATCCAAAATATGTTGTTAAAAATTGTTTACATTGTTTTCATAAGTCACATTTCAGAAAATAGAACTATGAAAGGAACTCAGCCAATGAATATGTCTGGCATTGTTCTTAAATTTTATCTTAAAATATTACATTTCAGCAGTTACCTAAAAACTTTTATTTTTCCTTGTGGAAAAATAATTATAGTCAAATTATTTAAGTTTTCAATGTGCAGCTAATTTCCTCCATTAGGTGTTTACTGAAAGCTACTAAAGACAAGATGTTTACTAAACTAAACAGACAAGATGTTTTACTAAACTAAACTAAACAGACAAGATATTTACTAAACTAAACAGACAAGATGTTTAATAAACTAAACAAAACAGACAAGATGTTTACTAAACAAAACAGACAAGATGTTTACTAAATAAACAGACAAGATGTTTACTGGAATAAACGGAGCTCACCATCATTATCAATAATTTTGCCATGTTTTTCTAGAGCCAAGATGTCAATGGTCTTCAGCTTCCGAGTAGAGTCAAATATCTGGTGAATAAATAGAGATGTGAGATAAAACAGATTCTGAAAACAACACTTCGTCAAACAAACAAATAAACAAAAAACAGGGACAAAATGCAATAAATCTGGGCTGTAATTTAAATGTGTATATGATAAGCAACACCTAACTAGGACAAAAAAACGTGTTGAAAATTGGAAGTTCCTATGAATAATTGGCAAACATAATATTCTTAGTTGGCTGTAATTCAATCCCCAGAACACACACTATTGCTGCAATGATATTTCTATTATGTTCGAGGACCATTCATTTGAAAATGTTAGTGACTATTTATTTAATTCAGTGTTATTTCAATATTATTATTGTGTGGTATATTTTCTGTTTTAATCTAGTAGTAAAGCAGTACAGAATACTTCACTATGTCACTTAACATCACCCATCAATTTCACTATGTCACTTGACATCACCCACTGATTTCACTATGTCACTTAACATCACCCATCAATTTCACTATGTCACTTAACATCACCCATCAATTTCACTATGTCACTTGACATCACCCACTGATTTCACTATGTCAATTAACATCACCCATTAATTTCACTATGTCACTTAACATCACCCATCAATTTCACTATGTCACTTAACATCACCCATCAATTTCACTATGTCACTTAACATAACCCATCGATTTCACTATGTCACATAACATCACCCATTAATTTCACTGTGTCACTTAACATCAGCCATCAATTTCACTATGTCAATTAACATCACCCATTAATTTCACTATGTCACTTAACATTATCCATTGATTTCACTATGTCAATTAACATCACCCGTTGATTTCACTATGTCAATTAACATCATCCATTGATTTCACTATGTCACTTAACATCATCCACCAATTTTACTATGTCACTTAACATCATCCATTGATTTCACTATGTCACTTAACATCACCCATCAATTTCACTATTTCACTTAACATCACCCATCAATTTCACTATGTCACTTAATATCACTCATCAATTTCACTATGTCAATTAAGATCACCCATCAATTTCACTATGTCCCTTAACATCACCCATCAATTTCACTATGTCACTTAACATCACCAATCAATTTCACAATGTCACTTAACATCACCCATCAATTTCACTATGTCACTTAACATCACCCATCAATTTCACTATGTCACTTAACATCACCCATCAATTTCACTATGTCACTTAACATCACCCATTAATTTCACTATGTCACTTAACATTATCCATCGATTTCACTATGTCACTTAACATCACCCACTATTTCACTATTGCTTGTATCACCCATTGATTTCAAATAAAATTTCAACTAGATTGCTTAATATAGATAATGATTTATCTAATTAAAACTTTTCACGGCACTTACTATGAAGCATTCAGTCATATGCTAGACCCGTTCATTAACCCATTTGTTAAGAGATGATAACATTACTGGTCAGCCAAGTAGTCACCCTTAATGTCATATTAAGAGGTGAAGTCAGTTCATCTATTTTAACCAATTAGTAAATTTAGTTTAAATATTCAAAAAGGGAACAAATTCTTATATTAATCTCAGAGTCAAATAAATGTCCAAGTCCAGCTACAACAGTCCAGCTGCAACAGTTAAGCTACAACAGTCCAGCTAAACAAGTCCAGCTGGTAAACCTAGAATATAAGGGACACAACTTACTTCTATGTAATGTTTATCTTCATTTTGCTTGTCTTTCCCTGTTCGAACTACAGCTCTCAGTTTACCAGAAGGTGAAACTTTATTCCACAACCTGAAAATGATAGATATTTATGGAAGCAATTTATATTCATTACTGAATTAAATTGTTTAATAACATCTTATGCTACTCACTGAGCAAATTTTCTTTCATAAATTTTGATTTGATATTCAAGCAATGTCTCACAATAAGAGCCTGTTGTGACTGCATCACATGATCGCCGACCGAAACAACTGTCACTCATCTCCTGTGCTGGGTCACAGTCAGCGTGACTCAATCGTATTTTCAAAATGCAGGCTAGCGTATGTTTTTACAAGTAGTATTTACTATAGTGCTGTCAACGCAAGTGTGTTGGGTCCAAGTGAAGTGACTGTTCTTTAGTTATTAGTAGCTACACTGAAACAATGGTCCCTATTAAGAATAAGATTGAAAAGGTAGACCACAGCAAGGGTAGATACTTTGTTAAAGAAAGATATTCCATTGACAAAAAGAGAGCTGTCATGCATTATTGACAGTGAAAGTAATCCTACATGCATTATTGACAGTGAAAGTCACCCTACATGTATTATTGACAGTGAAAGTAATCCTACAGGTATTATTGACAGTGAAAGTCGCCCTACATGTATTATTGACAGTGAAAGTAATCCTACATGTATTATTGACAGTGAAAGTAATCCTACATGCATTATTGACAGTGAAAGTCACCCTACATGTATTATTGACAGAGAAAGTAATCCTACATGTATTATTGACAGTGAAAGTAATCCTACATGCATTATTGACAGTGAAAGTCATCCCACATGCTACATTGACAGTGAAAGTAATCCTACATGCATTATTGACAGTGAAAGTCACCCTACATGTATTATTGACAGTGAAAGTAATCATACATCTATTATTGACAGTGAAAGTAATCCTACATGCATTATTGACAGTGAAAGTCATCCCACATGCTATATTGACAGTGAAAATAATCCTACATGTATTATTGACAGTGAAAGTAATCCTACATAATAATAATAATAATAATAATAAAGTTCATTTCAAAAACACGCTTCATCCCCAAAGGCTCGAAGCGCGGTACAAAGTCAACAAAAAACAAATCTATAATTTACCACATTTAAAACAAACGCAACACTACAAAAACTAATTACAAGCATACAATGTCAAAGTCTTTCAACCCATTTCAACCGTGAGCAACACAGCTAATATGCATTAAATGGAAAATATGGTAGACAATCATCCCAGAAGGTATTTGCGAAATAAATGTGTCTTTAAATCGGTTTTAAAGGACTCCAGTGTCTGGATGTTTCTGAGATCGAGTGGAAGGGTGTTCCAAATTGTTGGACCAGCAAATGCGAAAGTGGGCTTTCCGCAAGTCTCAAGGCGAACACGTGGTGTCAAGAGTTTGCCACTGTCGGATGAGCGGAGTTGTCTAGAGGGTACATAAGGCGTAAGCAGCTCTTTCAGATAGGACGGCGCCAGGCCATGTAGACAGCGGTAGCACAAAGTTGCGATTTTGTACTCTATGCGAGCACGCACCGGCAGCCAATGCAACTCTCTCAGAAGTGTTTTTGCATGGTCGAACTTGCTTTTGCGGAGAACAATTCGAGCCGCATTATTCTGTGCTATCTGAATTTTATCAAGGAGCATAGCTGGAAGACCCACCATGAGAGAATTGCAATAGTCCATGCGTGATAGCACAAATGCAGACATCAGCCTCTTTGTTGCATCAATTGTTAGGAAGGGCCTGATGTGGCTAATCCTGCGCAGCTCTAGAAAAATCGCCTTGCATAGCATGTTAATGTGACTTTCCAAGGTAAGTCTTCTGTCTAGGTAGACACCCAGGTACCGCACTGTTTCAGCTAACTCAATACCCTCAGTCTTATCATCGTTCAATTTGAGCTTGTTTATGGTCATCCAAAGCTTAACTGATTCAAATGTCTTCTGTGTCATAGTGAGCAGCTGAGGGAATTTAGAGGGGAGCACGGATTGATGAATTTGAGTGTCGTCTGCGAACATGTGGTATTGCATGTCAAACTGATTGATCTCTGCGCCCAGGGGCTGAATGTACGTCGTGAAAAGCACCGGGCCTAGGACCGAGCCCTGGGGTACTCCGAATTCGATATTGGATTTCTTCGAAGTCAGGCCGTTTGAAATAACTCACTGGACCCGATTAGTCAGATATGATCGGAACCAACTCAGGACGATATCAGTGAGACCTAACGTTTTTTGCAGACGCTGGAGCAGTATGCCGTGATCAAGCGTATCAAAAGCTGCCGATAGATCGAGTAAAGACAAAATCGATACCTGGCCCTCATCACAAGATGACAGAAGGTCGTTTACGACGCGCAACAGAGCTGTCTCAGTAGAGTGATGCGCCCTGTATGCTGATTGGAATGGTTCAAACAAGTCATATTGAATGAGGTGATCCAGGAGTTGGCGGAGAACGACTTTTTCTAATATTTTGGATATAAATGGTAGGTTTGAGATGGGGCGATAATTTTCCATCACATTTTGGTCAAGATTTGATTTCTTTAATAGTGGAGTGACGATCGCCTCTTTAAAAGATGATGGAACAATACCGGTAGCTAAGGACTGATTTATGATACAAGTGGTGATGGGGACATGCATTATTGACAGTGAAAGTCACCCTACATGTATTATTGACAGTGAAAGTAATCCTATAATAATGACTTTCTTCCTCTCCTCTCACCATTAAAGATAACAATAAATTTATTTGACTACGTTGAATTACATTTTTTTAAAATAAAGTATCAAAATGTATTTTATATGAACTATTTTGAAATAATTTATTTCATTTTTCAGCTTAATCTCAAATATTTCTTATGGATTAATTCTCTTTCATTTGGGAGTATTTTGGATTACAGCAGGTACTAGGAACAGATAATACTCATACTACTAGACAATGTCTGGTCTCACTACTAGACAAGGATGTTTACATCAAGACAATTTCTGGTCTTAGACTCACTCATTTTTCACTTCCTGTGGTCCCAGTTTTCCAAGAGTACTCCCCGTAGCAATGTTGATGGTATGAGACCTAAGCAGAGTCGTTTTTTCTTTACGGTCCAGGTCATGCTGTGACCAAAGGGTCTGTAAGACAACAGTTGCCTGACCCTCACTGATATTAATGTCTGCACTTGTTGGAGTTGGATAGCTGGTCACATCTCGATAAGCTGAAACAATTTCACCTGCCTGGGGAAAAGAAAAGGAGTTAAAATGATCTCCTGCTGACCCTGTTAGTTAAATTAAACCGTTATTTTTCAACTCCCAAACTGCCTGGGATGAAAACAAATCTTGATTGCACTCAAATGAGTGCAGTCACATATTCTTTTTCTATTTATTCTGTTAGGTTCTATTGTCTGAACTAAGTAATGGTGAACACATTGGTTCCTCTACCTGCCCAGGAATTTCTTTTCTTGTGCAGCCACTTAGATTGCGAACATATCTAAACTTCAAAATAATTAAATCTTTCACAAATGTTTGAGTTGAATAAATCCGCACAAATGATGCTGGGTGTGAGTTAAGTAAAATCTTGCACTTGAGCCAGGAAAATGTCTAATTAAAGAGAAATGGAAATGTGTCTAATTAAAGAGAAATGGAAATGTGTCTAATTAAAAAATAATGGAAATGTGTCTAATGAAAGAGAAATTGAAATGTGTCTAATGAAAGAGAAATGGAAATGTGTCTAAATGAAGAGAAATGGAAATGTGTCTAAATGAAGAGAAATGGAAATGTGTCTAATTAAAGAGGAATGGAAATGTGTCTCATGAAAGCGAAATGGAAATGTGTCTAATGAAAGAGAAATGGACATGTGTCTAATTAAAGAGAAATGGAAATGTGTTTAATTAAAGAGAAATGGAAATGTCAAAAAATATTCACTCAATAAATCAGTAAAATAAAGTTTTACTGAAACTCGATCTAGACAAGGGTTCTCAAATTTGAACTGCACGAGGATATTTTTAATAACCTCAAAGCACCTACATAAGACATAAGTCATTATCAAACAGCTAGTAAAATTTAAAACACCAACTTGATACACTATTATTATACAATTTAAGTATCAAAAAATTTAAACTAGTGTGTAAATGCATTTTGAAATACATACTCAAATTAAGTGTACCTTTTGCAATAATGTGTTCTGAAACCAGCACTTGAGACTACTTCAGTGATTCATAAATAAACGTTTCAAGCCAGTAGAAGATAACATTTGTGTTGTAAAGAGGGGTCAAGATAACAGCTGATTATATAAGTAAACAGGATAAAATGAACTTTTTGACTATGTTGATAGGCTGATACTGAGGTCTAACACTCAAAAGTCAATGGTTTCTGCTGCAGCAATAAGAACAATGAATACAACTTTTCAATCTCACTGCATTTGCTGAGGAAGATTTATAGGCCACCTTTTAGTTTTCTGTAATTTTTAAAATATTAAAGTTATTGAGAGGAAATTTCAAATTTAAAAAATTAAACCGGAATCAACTTTTTAACTTTCGTACTTTTTGAGCTACGAATTTTTAAAGTCCAAGTTTGTTTGGTATTTTCTACTGTGGACAAAGCCTCCACATTTTGTGGCCTCATTCTGCTGATCGTGTCTTGCGCAAAGACTATACAGTTTATATAATGCAACGCATCCCCTTATTACTAAAATTCTATTTAGGGACCACTTATTTTGAACTTTCAACTTTGGCACATGACTATTTAATTGAAGCTTTCCCTGACCAAGGGTTTAATAGCTTTGGCACACATCAAACTTTTATGAATAAACCTCTGATGTAGTACCACGGCATAGCCATTATGCAAGTGACCGTGAATATCTGCCCATGACAACGTTTTGCACACAGCAAATTATGATCATTAATAATATGTTTTTAAACCACGAATTAAAACATATTTATTTAAATTACTTCTAGGGTCATTCTAAAATGCAGGTCCTGTATTTTGGGAAATAAATAATTATTTTTCATTATGCAAAACTTGTTTATTTGTTGTTTGCTATTTCTTCTTGCGGAGTTCAAAAGCCAGTGATTGGTCATGGGGATCAAGATAACCGAGGTTAAGTGGCAATTTTGGCCGCCTTTTTGCGAGTTAACCGACGTAAAGATTAAGGGAGTTCGACTGTAATATGTAAGGACACAGATTTTGAGTTTATGCATAAGTTCCAAGATAATTGTGAAACATGAAATCATACAAATAATAATGAAAAAGAGTGAGGCTGGTACCAAACTGTTTATTTGGTTTGCGCTTCATGCATCCACATGTTTTCTACATTCTGTGTGTGGACCTCAGTGTCATTTGGATCAATGAAGTACTGTTGTTGGACCACAGCTGAGTACTCATAGATTCCATATCTCATCTGATTTATGTTGCTTAAGCCGCCCATCCGTCCAAGACAAAATGTGAACCTGGTAGAATATGCATCTCTATGCACATTTGTCGCTCTGCATACACCGCTATTCGTCAGATCAGCTCCATCTGCCACTACCTCACAGTTATTGCAACAAAAACCCTAGTCTGTGCTCTTGTTCTCTCTTGTCTGGACTATTGTAACTCTCTTCTATCAGGTTCACCAAAACATTTATTAGAAAAATTACAAAAGGTTCAAAACTTAGCCGCTAGGCTAATTTTAAAGGCACAAAAATGTGATGACATCACACCACTACTGCATTCACTTCATTGGCTCCCTTTACACGCAAGGATTGACTTCAAACTCTCTGTTCTCTGCCACGACTTTTTCTCGAATTCTTACCCTTCCCATCTAACCAAACTTCTCTCTGTCTATTTACCCCTTCAACAGCTTCGCTCCTCCACAGATGCGCGTATTCTTTCTGTCGCCAAGACTGGCACAAAAACATACTATGAACGATCTTTCTCTTTCTGTGCCCCTAAACAATGGAATTCTCTTCCACCTCACATCGGCATTATACTGACCATCACAGCCTACAAAACTGCACTCAAAAGACATCTCTTTAAACTCTACTATCCTGATTGATTCCCCCCACCCCCCTCTGACCGCTAAACGATGCTGCTGGTTAGCCGTCCATGGCTTGACATGTAAATAGTTCTTGAATTTTTGGAGTGAATATCAATTTGTTTTGTTGTATTTAATTAATGTATGTTAATTTTTAATTTCATGATTATGTTTGTTAAATTGTATGTACAGCATGGTGAGCCCAGCCCTAGGCTGGGGTACCGCGCCATATAAAACCACCACTAATAATAATAAGAATATCAGTCTGGCACATCAAAAAGAAAACAAAATCACCCAAATGCCCACCCTCTCATTCTTTACCACAAAAACCCAGTTAGGTAGGCTTCTCTCCACTGTCCACAGCAGGATTTCCAGTAAAATAGAACTTCAGACCCAAAAAACATGATTATTGAATAGCCCAAGCTGAATGTCTAGATTACAGACTTACTTAACTAATAATATAACATTAGCCTTTGTGTGCTCTATGACACAGTTTTATAATAATAAATTAATTAATCAATGAAGTAAAATATTTGTCATACAATTTAACCAAGATGAAAACCCAATTTTCCCTGGGTCACTTCGACCATTCTGTAAGCTATCAATGTCCTTAATACTTTTTTTTCAGCAACTTAACATTATTGGAACTTAAAAAATGTTGTTTACCATCTAAATTGGATCGGTGATAACTTTAATATTGTCCATTTACCCTATTCACTTGAATGTTGGCCCTTTAAGGTGTTAACACATACCCCATCACTGGACAGAAAAAAAAAAATGTTGTCATTTTTTTAATCTTCACCAGAAATAGAATTGGCTCTCAATATCAATCATAAGAAAGTTTTAATATTCTGTAATCTCTAAATATTTGAATAAATCTAAGCAAATTTGGAAATGTTATTTTAGAAAACAGAAATCGATACAATACACAAAATTTAATTTAAGCTTACTTCCACTTACTTTTACTAGACATGCAATTTAAAATGTAGTTATAGTAGGCCTATGCCTTTATTAACATTTTATAGGTCTAAACCTAATAAACTAATACTATTCTATTGCTACAACTGCAAATACAGACCTAATTTAAATTAGTATTTTTTAAAGTTTTAATGAGGTATAATATAAATAAAGGACATCAAATAAATAAATAAGACTTAACATCATCATAGTAATTACATTTTATTAGCACATAGTTTACATCGACAAATATTTAATATGTCTAATAAAGAAAAGAAATGAGCTTTACAACAAAAAAAAACTTGAATATATTAATATTGAAAAGAAATGAGATATTGTCCAGATTTAGGATTATGATAAGATTTTATTTCTTTCAGTTACAAGAGAAAACTTTAATTCTTCATTGAAGACATCGGCATAATTCCTTTTCATTGCCATGATACAGATTTGAACATAGAAGACATAGATGGTATATTCAAAGTTTATGAAGGAAAAATTGTGGATTCATCAAAAAGACCAAGAATTCTGTAAAGCAGACTACATAGGAAATGACAGCCAGGAAATCTCCATTGGCATTACCTTTTAAAATCTAATCACATACCAGTACTGGTATGCTCATATAAGTTTTATGGTAGATTTTAGTTGTTTTTAATTTATAATCCCATGCATTCAATTCTATTTTTTTTTTTTAAATCTACTTACTTTTAACAAATAAAATATAAGAGTATATTTAAATTTTTAACTTAAGCATAGACCCTATATTTAATTAAAATACAATCAACATGTTATTTTTTTTTGTTTTTGCCTTTACAAATAATTTTTTTCTAAGATATTTTTAACATACCAAAAAAAAACTATCCAAATACAAATAGTAATGCAAAAAGTTTCATTGTTCATTATGTTGTATAATTAGGTTGTGAATGTCTAATAATAATAATAATACTAATAATAATAATGAATGTCTCCTGTCTTCTGAAAGGTTAAGATAAGGTTGATGCAATTATTTTTAAAAATAAAAAAGGTTGTTGGGAAAACTAGTGCAGACATCTGAAATGTAGATCAAAAGTTTTTGGGGTCAAATATATTATTTATTATAACTATAAGTTTATAAGCGGCTTATAATTATTTTAAATAAGCATTATCGTAACTTCGGTTCTATTCATATTTTTTTTTTAAATAGAAATATGAAATTGGTGTTTTTGGAGAGCTACAAAGTAAGTGACTTAAAAATAGCTATCCCTTTAATATAATATATTTATTTTATTCCATTATTTAAAATTATTACACAAATAATTAAAATTTGGCTGCGGCTATTCGGACCCGGTATCAGACGTGAGAGGTTGGGTTTATTAAAAAATATTTAAAATATTGTTGGGTTTCTAATACAAAATTTGGTATCAAATGAAAGATAATTGAATGGATTTATGTTTGTAAACCTAATTCTTCAGTCCGAATAGCGGTGATGCATGGCATATCCGGTTCCATTTTGACTAAATGCTATTCGGATGTCATTTGTGGTAGTTTATTTTAGTATAACTTAGTATAACTGAAGAATTAATTTTACAAACATATAGTCCATTCAATTATCTTTCATTGGATACCAAATTTTATCAGACTTAACCAACAATAATATTTTAAACATTTTTTTAATCCAAACATCACTTCTGGCTTCTGGTAGCCGGGTCCGAATAGCCACTTCGTTAAAATTTCTTTCAAAGTAATCAAAGTACCTAATACTAGGCCTATACATTATAATATACTAATAAATAATAACTTACTAACTACGTCTTCTTGGACAACTGCTAATTCGTGATAGTGATACATGTTATTACTTACCAGTGTTGCCTTCGAAGCCATCTTTCTTCGGATCAAGTTTGTCACTCGACTCACTGCAATTACTCACTACCACACCACTTTCAATATTGTCACTGTCTGATTGAAAGTGTCTGTTTGGATTTGGTGTTTCGGAAAATCACTGATTGAATTAATTATTAATACTAATACTAATACCTTAAGCCTTAAGTATAAGTGCTGGTGGCGACTGAACGGTTTATTTGATATTGATTGACAATGACAATGATTGTCTTTAATTTTATTTGGAAACTAAAACGGCAAAAGGGCGCTTTCAGATTTTGCGATAGGCTTAAATCTTGACAAGTATTTGTTTCTCACTCTGAAGATAACACTGGTATTATACTTTAAGTAAACATTTTTTGTCAACTAATATCATATGCAAACAATTTAGCTTTAATCATTTTAAAGGCAAGAGGTTAAAGGTTATGGTTATTTTTTTCACATTATAGCTTCCCTTTTATTCACTTATTTTTTAAATCGCCTTATTGTTTTTAAATGGCTATTTTATTATTATTTTGTTTTTTCATTTTTAATTATCATTTATTTTATTATTTTAAAATTCAAGTATAAAATAAAAATCTGTGTCAATCGTTTTGAAGTTCGTAATTAAACAACCCCTAAAAACAAAGCTTTTCGTATAATCCTTTATAAAATTTAATTAATATCGAGCAATGAGAATTGGGGATAGGGCTGAAAAGTTGACAAACATGCATTCAACCTGTATAACAAGTAACACACTTTATAACAGGGGTCTCAAACTCAAATCATCCGGGGGCCGCAGGAGGTAGAGTCTGAATGAGAGTGAGCCACATCAAGTATTCCACACAAAAAAAGAAGCGATTACAAAGTCAATAAAGTAAATATGTTTCAATCTGCTCAACATTTATTTATAACAAATAAAAACATTAAGGTTTCATTTTCTTTCTCCTACTCCTTGTTGACAGAGACCTGGCAGCGCTTTTTCTTACACAGTTGTGAAACATTTGGCTTGAGTGAGGAAGCAACTGAGACCCTCAGTATGGCTTGAAGATGCTCATCAGTAAGTTTGGCCCTGAACTTTGACTTGTTAAAGTGGAAAAGAGCTTTCCAAGCAGATAGGTACTCCCCAAAAATGTACATGATCCACTTGAACAACCTGGAAATCTCAGGGAAGGGGGAAGGCAATGCTCTCATAAATTGCCCATGCTTGTCTGTTTTTCCATGCACCTCCGTGAACTTAGAATTGCCCTGAAGATCAATCAGCCTCCTTTTGAAGCGCGTGGGGGCCGGAGGGGGTGGATGGGCGGACATCTCCCACTTTAAAGGAGAAATGTTCAGCAAAAAATTGAAAAGTGGCTCTGTGTTTTTTGAAGTTTAAACACATGTGACCGTATTCTTCCTATAGCTTTGCAATGGCATCAGTATACTTAATACTGAATGGCGTGCCCGAGTCCATGAGCACATTGGGAAATGGCAGATGTTTCTCTAAGAACCATAACACAAGTTTTGTGCAGGATACCCTGACATTGTCATAGGCAACACTGACAAGCTATCCCTTTTCTTGTAACTTCTTGTTGAGTACATTAGCTCATGTGTAACGTCAACAAGAAAAGCCAAGACCATGAGCCATTTGGGATCACTTAGTACAGAAACAACCACACCCCCCCCCCCCAATGCTTCTCCATGATGGCTTTAAATGCTAAAACATGTTCAACCCGTATGAAGGATCAGGCAATATTTATGAATTATTGATGCGAAGAAAGATTCTATTGTAGGGAGAATGAATTTTGATTTTTTTATAGTAGAAAAAGCCTTTTGGGCTAACCCTACTTTAAAAGTGACCAAGCTGACAGGCTCGGAATTTCCCTCACTCGTAAACACTAGCGGCAATTTTAAAAGGGATTATTTGATAGTGTGTCAGATTGCAACGATTGACACAATTATGGTTGTGCATTACCCACTAACTGACTTTTTAAACTTTCATAAAGCATCACTGTGGCCGCCATGTTTGTCTCAAAAATGGTATAAAATAAAAACGTTTAGTCCGATTTGAAAACGGTTCTTACCATTAGAATCAACATTCAAATCTATAGAAACAATAACAATCAGAATTAGATTATTCAGTGAGGTTCGACAGAAACCGTCGTGGAGGGTCACGTTATAGAGATGAGAATGGAGAAAACGCGCCGGCAGTATTAACACTAAACTTTGCTGTCATGTAGTGGGCCGCAAAATATCGCCATGCGGGCCGCAAATGGCCCTCGGGCCGCGAGTTTGAGACCCCTGCTATATAAGAATGCAAATTAGTGCTCCCCCCCCCCCCCCCCCGTTACATGCCATGTGGTGTCAAGGCTCCATAAGTCTGGATCATCTTGTTAGCACAAGTCACGACAGCAATGATAGTAAAATCCGCTGACACCTTATGGTCGCTTGTACTGAAGTGTTTATAGACGGGACACTGCTTATCTTGCGTAATATTATGAAGGTGTTCATCTGTCAGGGAGTCGGCGTCCCGTCTCACCTATTTACAACATCCGGCCACTGGCAGCGGGTGTAAACAATGACGTAGACAACATTGCATTATCTCCCCCTCTACACACCCGCAATATTCCGCTCATCCAGGCCTTCAGAACTGCACGCAAGACACATCTCTTCAAACTCTACTACCCTGACTGATCCTCCCCCCCCCCCCAACCTTTCTGATCGTTAAACGATGACTCTGGGTGCCGTCCATCGCTTGTCATGTAAAGAGTTCTGGAGTGCGTGGGGTGATTATATATTTTTGTTTGCATACAGCTGTTTTGTAATTTAATAAATGTATGCAATTTTTTAATTTCATCATTATGTTTGCTATTATTTTTATATGCAGCGCAAAGCTCTAGGGTACCGCGCTATATAAGACCACTGTAAGAAGTAATAATAGTTACAATATTTTTTTGATTGATTGAATACTTTTATAGCACTTGTATCCATGCTATTTTAGCATGCTCCCAGCGCTCTGAAGCTCTGAAGCTCTGACGCTGATCTCATCAAATAGAGAGGAATTTTTTTAAAAGCCCTTAAATGTTTCATAAATGATTTTTTTTTTCATTTTCAATTTCATTCAAAGATTGGGGCAAGCTGTTCCATAATTTTGGCGCTATAGCTTCAAAAAAAGAGCGCACTCCACATGACCTCTTTCTGTGTCCATCCACGCTGGGAACTCCCAGTAAGGACTGTGTTGTGAAGCGCACTCCACATGACCTCTTTCTGTGTCCATCCACGCTGGGAACTCCCAGTAAGGACTGTGTTGAGAAGCGCACTCCACATGACCTCTTTCTGTGTCCATCCACGCTGGGAACTCCCAGTAAGGACTGTGTTGAGAAGCGCAGGATCTTGTGTTTGTAAAATGGTTCTTTAACATATTCAGGTGTTAACTTTTTAAAGTTCCCCCCCCCCCAAACTTTGTTTCGTTCATTTCCATCTTTATAACCTGTTTGCAGTCTAACCCACGACCTACCCTTTTTATTACCAGTCCTATTTGATGCAGGCTAAGTCCTAGGAATCCGGCCTCAGAAAGTATCCAGTATCCACAATCCAACGGCTAAGTTGCAGCGGTTTCTTGCACTACGGCAACCTGGTGGATTAGATTTACTGGCTTTCGTCTTACGCAGGTACGGTGTGGTCACTATAGCGTGATGATCTAAATCTAGATTCTAGAAATACCCTTTCTCTATTCTACCACAATGTATATAGTTGAGGTAATATATTTTGTCACTGGTTGATCTCAATCATGTGTTGATCAAGACCAAAGAAGTAAAGTACCATCATTAAAGCGTGATTAACATTTTCTATTAGAGCTCATTCATGGCATATGGGGTGGGTTTGTTTTTACTGTTGTGAGTTAGCTCACTCATAGTATATGGGGTTGAGGACTTTTACTGCTGTGAGTTAGCTCACTCATAATATATGGGGTTGAGGACTTTTACTGCTGTTAGTTAGCTCACTCATAGTATATGGGGTTGAGGACTTTTACTGCTGTGAGTTAGCTCACTCATAGTATATGAGGTTGAGGACTGTTACTGCTGTTAGTTAGCTCACTCATAGTATATGGGGTTGAGGACTTTTACTGCTGTGAGTTAGCTCACTCATAGTATATGGGGTTGAGGACTTTCACTGCTGTGAGTTAGCTCACTCATAGTATATGGGGTTGAGGACTTTCACTGCTGTGAGTTAGCTCACTCATAGTATATGGGGTTGAGGACTTTCACTGCTGTGAGTTAGCTCACTCATAGTATATGGGGTTGAGGACTTTCACTGCTGTGAGTTAGCTCACTCATAGTATATGGGGTTGAGGACTTTCACTGCTGTGAGTTAGCTCACTCATAGTATATGGGGTTGAGGACTTTCACTGCTGTGAGTTAGCTCACTCATAGTATATGGGGTTGAGGACTTTCACTGCTGTGAGTTAGCTCACTCATAGTATATGGGGTTGAGGACTTTCACTGCTGTGAGTTAGCTCACTCATAGTATATGGGGTTGAGGGCTTTCACTGTTGTGAGTTAGCTCACTCATAGTATATGGGGCTGAGGGCTTTTACTGCTGTCAGTTAGCTCACTCAACACTTTCAATGTGTTAAAAGGCCAACTATGCAGGGGAATAACTCAAAATTTTAAAAAAAAAGCGGGTATGTGCTCTAGCAATTCATTTGCTGCCCACGGATACTACTTCTAAGCTAAGTGATATTTTAAAACTTGTATTATGTTTTTTCTGTTGTTTTGTTCGCTGATGAAGGCTTCTTGCCGACACGTTCGTTGTTTTGTTGCGTTCCTATTTTCAGATTTAACCCTTCTCTGTTTGACTCATTTTATATTGTGCTAACCTGATTGCAGGCTCTCCCCTTTTAATCTTGATTTCAACAGTCTTACTATTCCCCGACCTTGGCAGGACTATGGTCCTATTGATCCTTGACCTAGGCAGGACTATGGTCCTATTGATCCCTGACCTAGGCAGGACTATTGTCATATTGATCCTTGACCTAGGCAGGACTATGGTCCTATTGATCCCTTACCTAGGCAGGACTATGGTCCTATTGATCCCTGACCTAGGCAGGACTATGGTCCTATTGATCCTTGACCTAGGCAGGACTATGGTCTTATTGATCCCTGACCTAGGCAGGAATATGGTCCTATTGATCCCTGACCTAGGCAGGACTATGGTCCTATTGATCCTTGACCTAGGCAGGTCTATGGTCCTATTGATTCTTGACCTAGGCAGGACTATGGTCCTATTGATCCCTGACCTAGGCAGTACTATGGTCCTATTGATCCTTGACCTAGACAGGACTATGGTCCTATTGATCCCTGACCTAGGCAGGACTATGGTCCTATTGATCCTTGACCTAGACATGACTATGGTTCTATTGATCCCTTACCTAGGCAGGACTATGGTCCTAT